ATAACGTAATATTGAAATTTTATAAGTAAAAACCACATTTGTAGTACGATTATATTATTCCGGGAAGTTCATTTATCTCTAGAATATGTTTCAAACATGCCATACATTATTTCACAAGCCTTATACAATATTGCAATAAGACAATATTCTCCTGTTATACTGGTTGTATCATGTACCCAATTTTTCCAAATCTCATCTAGGGGTTTGCCTTCATTTGCCAATTTCTTCCACAACAAAAATTGGATTAGAAATTAACAAAAAATCATGATTCTGTCTATAATGTGACATGGGACTCTGTATTCCCAAGATACATATATAAGTAAGTTTAACTTAGGGCGTTTTGGGGACATTATCGGCCTTACATGTATAAAAAGTAAAAAATAATAATCAACTTTATTTATCAATTTCATTTATAAACATCATATTGGCTATTTGGACTAGCTTCCATAGTTGTGCAAACGTAGAAGCTCTACCAGAGCTGCAATGCAGATATAGCCAAAACATATCGTTTTTTGGCAATTAGCATGCAGAAATAAAAAGCCTCCGCATGTCACAACCAAACATTTCTTTCTACGATGGAACACTGGTATGACCGTTTTTAAACGTGTCAATAATTTATGTGGTTAGCGCGTGGGGAAGCTTTCAAAAATTGAACAGTTTTTAGTTCATTTGCTTCAAAATGGCATTTTTTTTCAACGAAAATAATAAACAATAGACGATATACAAGCATTTTATTGTGAAAATGGGAGTTTAAACCTATCTTTGTCATGCCATACCCCCTATACTTGTTCTCAAATGAATTTGAAGTTTCATGTTTACGTACCTCATTTATCCCAGGTTACTGATAGAACAACCAATTCTGAATTCCTTATGAGGCCGGAAATGACCATTAGCGCCCCTAGTCCTCTAGTGAATTTAGATTTTAAATTTAAAAGCAAATTATGGTCCGGTCAAAATATTGTTGACGCACAGATACTGCTATTCCAATATAGGTTCCGTCAAAGACGAACGTTTAAAAATTGAGGAATTTTGTTTGAAATGTCTCCTATAAAAGGCATGGGCCATTCTTTCCTTTTTATCATACAATAATACATAAGTTAATTTGAAAGTCCAAATTAAACGTTTTTGGTTGACATACCTCCCGACACACACGGCGTTATCCCCCTCGTACGGTTTTAATGGTCGTCATGGTAATATTTCCTTTATTTGTGTATTGACTTTGCCTTATTGTTATTGGTTTTGAGTTCGAATTACGTTTGAATTGGCACGTTGGTATTTCCATTGTTTTTTTGTAAATTACATTTCTGTATTACCGATCTACAATATGTCCGGTGTACAATTACCCCTAAGTTTACGTGTGCTGATTTATCTATGAAGTTTTTATGACTGTAGGGTTTCAAGATTCTCCCGGGATCAGTTAATTTTCTTTTTCATTTACATACAGTATAACCATTTTACAGGTATTGGTACTGTATCTTGAGTCAGTTTTTCGGTTTTGTACAGACTTAGTGTGATTGGTACTAACAGTTTGAAAAAAAAGTATGTATTATATGTTGGATATGGTGTCCCTATCAAATATACTGAACCGGTAATTCAGAAAGCGTGATCAGGTATCAAACAGACAGGTTAATGTACAAGATACATTATTGGAAACCATACAATATGCCATAAATATGAAGTATCGTTTTCAGTAAGTCTCTCCACTTCATCTATTGTCTAAGTAGATCTATTATGAAATGTGACCCATTGAAATGTGTGTGACAGGTCCTTTATATGATATACTGACATATCAATAATCCGACCGGATCTGGTGTATGTATTATGTACGAGTACGTCTGTGAAGTGGACCACGCTGTCTATACCAGCTGTTCATTGCGTAATATGTTTTTAACTTGTTAAATGTTAAGGCATTTGCAAGGTTGCCACACTATCTTGTCTGTGACCCATAATTAAATAGTCTGTGTACCATAAGTAAGTAGTTTGTGTACTGTAAGTAAATAGTCTGTGTACTGTAAGTAAATAGTCTGTGTACCATAAGTAAGTAGTCTGTGAACCATAAGTAAATAGTCTGTGTACCATAAGTAAGTAGTCTGTGTACCATAAGTAAATAGTCTGTGTACCATAAGTAAGTAGTTTGTGTACTGTAAGTAAATAGTCTGTGTACCATAAGTAAATAGTCTGTGTACTGTAAGTAAATAGTCTGTGTACCATAAGTAAATAGTCTGTGTACCATAAGTAAATAGTCTGTGGACCATAGGTAAATAGTCTGTGTACCATAAGTAAATAGTCTGTGAACCATAAGTAAATAGTCTGTGTACCATAAGTAAATAGTCTGTGAATCATAAGTAAATAGTCTGTATACCATAAGTAAATAGTCTGTGTACCATAAGTAAATAGTCTGTGAACCATACACTTGTAAATAAATAGTCTGTGAACCATAAGTAAATAGTTTGTGTACCATAAGTAAATAGTCTGTGAACCATAAGTAAATAGCCTGTGTACTATAAGTAAATAGTCTGTGAACCATACACTTGTAAGTAAATAGTTTGTGTACCATAAGTAAATAGTCTGTGTACCATAAGTAAATAGTCTGTGAACCATAGGTAAATAGTCTGTGTACCATAAGTAAATAGTCTGTGAACCATAAGTAAATAGCCTGTGTACTATAAGTAAATAGTCTGTGAACCATACACTTGTAAGTAAATAGTTTGTGTACCATAAGTAAATAGTCTGTGTACCATAAGTAAATAGTCTGTATACCATAAATAAATAGTCTGTGTACCATAAATAAATAGTCTGTGTACCATTAGTAAATAGTCTGTGTACCTTAGGTAAATAGTCTGTGTACCATAAGTAACTAGTCTGTTTACCATATGTAAATACTCTGTATACCATAAGTTAGTAGTCTGTGTACTATAAGTGAGTAGTCTGTGTACCATAAGTAAATAGTTTGTGTACCATAAGTAAATAGTCTGTGTACCATAAGTAAATAGTCTGTGTACCATAAGTAAATAGTCTGTGAACCATAAGTAAATACTCTGTATACCATAAGTAAATAGTCTGTGTACCATAAGTAAATAGTCTGTGAACCATAAGTAAATAGTCTGTGAACCATAAGTAAATAGCCTGTGTACCATAAGTGCATAGTCTGTGAACCATAAATAAATAGTCTGTGAACCATAACTAAAAACTGTTACTGAGGATACTGTGTATTGATAAAGTAATTGAAAGTGATTCGAAGACACATTGAAGTCACGGTAATGGAAAAGGAGAAACGACGAAAAGCTTCATTATAAAGTATCAGGATTGTTCGGTATGTGGATACTCGTACACATTATATAGTACAATATATCTATATGTAATACATTATACAAATAGTAATAGTATCAGAATCAACGAGGTGTCTTTATGTAAAAATTCCTTTTAAAATGGTTAAAAGATTATCACAAGAAAAAAATAGTACATGTAATTACGAAAATAAAAGATAAATAAATAAAAACTAAAATGGATAGACATTCATGTGCTGAAGAATACAGAATACGAGTTCAGTATTATGTCCACATCTGCCATGATGCCTCCGTTTTCTTCTCTATTCTCAGTCATTTATAATATGTAGAGTCTCTCCGCTTCAACTATTGTCTGTAGATCTATTATGAAATGTGACCCATGGAAACGTTTGTGACAAGTCCTGTATATGATATACTGACACATCAATGATTCGACCGGATATAGTGTATGTATTATGTACGAGTACGTCTGTGTAGTGGACCATGCTGATTATACCTGACACGATAACTTCAGGGGGGGGGGGGGGGGGGGGGGGGGNCACGGTTACAACACTCACCTACTCCAGGACGCATAATGATTAATTTTGTTAAAAACGTTTTTAACTTTTTATTGCGTAATATGTTTTTAACTTGTTGAATTTTAACGAACTTGCAAGGTTGCCATACTATCTTGTCTGTGTACCATAATTAAAATGTTTGTGTACCATAAGTAAGTAGTCTGTGAACCATAAGTAAAAAATGTTACTGGGGATACTGTGTATTGATAAAGTAATTGAAAGTGATTCGTAAGACACATTGAAGTCACGGTATTGGAAAAGGAGAAACGACTAAAAGCTTCATTATAAAGTATCAGGATTGTTCGGTATGTGGATACTCGTACACATTATATAGTACAATATATCTATATGTAATACATTATACAAATAGTAATAGTATCAGAATCAACGAAGTGTCTTTATGTAAAAAAAAATCCTTTTAAAATGTTAAAAAATTATCACAAGAAAACATAAATAAAAACCAAAATGGATAGACATTCATGTGCTGTAGAATACAGAATACGAGGTCAGTATAATGTGCACATCTGCCATGATGCCTCCGTTTTCTTCTCTATTCTCAGTCATTTCAATCTGATTAAAATCATATGTTACATGGCTTCGTTAACTTCGTACTACGCCTGAACATCTGAATGTGCCGCATTCAGGGTCACGTTCAGGTGACCTTTATATTTATAAATACTCATTAATTTTTTACCAATCAGAGAAGAAGGATCGATATGTTCGTGGAATTCCATTAAATTATATCTGAAAATAGACACTGGCAGTTCTGCTAATCCAGTGCGGGGTTTAAACCAGTGAAAAACAACTTTCAGAATGTTTTCGAGGTAGAATATATATTCGTGGAAGCTAGACACACTTGTTCATTGAGAGAAGAAGATAATATACGATTTAAGGTTACATGTAGGTAGTGTTAACGGTAGTTCAAGGTTCGCAGTATATTATAGCGCCCTGATCAATGCTGAACGAAAGTGCATAATGATAGCTAGCAGCCAATACAATCTTAGTTTAATAAGATGTTGAAACGAATCACCTGCGTATTCAACAGACTTTTTAATGTTTTAATTCAAAACAGCTATCATCAATTATGCACGACATTTAAATTTTATGTTCCGTTTTGATTTAGGTAAGAAATCATAGTAAAATGTTTTGCTGATAGTCGGTGTTATTATCATTACGCAGTTGTCATCACTCACTGTGTTATAAGCATTACCTACGGTGTAGTTGTCATCACTCACGGTATAGTTGTCATCATTCACGGTTTAGTTGTCATCATTCACGATGTAGTTGTCATCAACCACGGTATAGTTGTCATCACTCACGGTATAGTTGTTATCACTCACGGTATAGATGTCATCAACCACGGTGTAGTTGTCATCACTCACGGTATAGTTGTCATCAACCACGGTGTAGTTGTTATCACTCACAAAGAAGTTGTCATCAACCACGGTGTAGAAGTCATTACTCACGGTATAGTTGTCATCATTCACGGTATATATGTCATCACTCACGGTATAGTTGTCATCACTCACGGTGTAGTTGTCATCACTCACGGTGTAGTTGTCATCACTCACGGTATAGTTGTCATCACTCACGGTGTAGTTGTCATCACTCACGGTGTAGTTGTCATCACTCACGGTATAGTTGTCATCACTCACGGTGTAGTTGTCATCACTCACGGTGTAGTTGTCATCACTCACGGTATAGTTGTCATCACTCACGGTGTAGTTGTCATCACTCACGTTGTAGTTGTCATCACTCACGGTATAGTTGTCATCACTCACGGTATAGTTGTCATCACTCACGGTGTAGTTGTCATCACTCACAGTGTAGTTGTCATCATTCACGATGTAGTTGTCATCAACCACGGTATAGTTGTCATCACTCACGGTGTAGTTGTCATCACTCACAGTGTAGTTGTCATCACTCACAGTGTAGTAGTCATTACTCACGGTGTAGTTGTCATCATTCACGATGTAGTTGTCATCACTCACGGTATAGTTGTCATCACTCACGTTGTAGTTGTCATCATTCACGATGAAGTTGTCATCAACCACGGTGTAGTAGTCATTACTCACGGTGTAGTTGTCATCATTCACGATGTAGTTGTCATCACTCACGGTATAGTTGTCATCACTCACGTTGTAGTTGTCATCATTCACAATGTAGTTGCCATCAACCACGGTGTAGTAGTCATTACTCACGTTGTAGTTGTCATCATTCACGATGTAGTTGTCATCACTCACGGTATAGTTGTCGTCACTCACGTTGTAGTTGTCATCATTCACGATGTAGTTGTCATCAACCACGGTGTAGTAGTCATTACTCACGATGTAGTTGTCATCACTTACGATGTAATAGTCATCACTCACGGTGTAGTTAACATCACTCACGATGTTGTTGTCATCATTCACGATGTAATAGTCATCAACCACGGTGAAGTTATCATCACTCACGGTGAACTTGTCATCACTCAATGTGTGAAAGTCATCACTCTATGTGTAGAAGTCATCACTCACGGTGTAGTTGTCATCAATCACGGTGTATTGTCATCACTCACGACGAATTGTCATGAAATCACGGTATTGTTATCATCACATACAGTGTTATAAGCATTGTTTACGGTGTTGTTGTCATCACTCACGATGTAGTTGTCATGAACTCATGGTATAGTTATCATTACTTACAGTGATATAATCATTACTTTCAATGTTTTGTCATCACTCACGGTGTAGTTGTTATCACTCACGAAGAAGTTGTCATCACTAACGGTGTAGTTGTCATCACTCACCGTGTAGTAGTCATCACTCACATGTAGTTGTCATCACTAAATGTTAAGTAGTCATCACTCATGGTGTAGTTGTCATCACTCACGGTGTAGAAGAAATCACTCACGGTGTTGTAGTCATCACTCAAGGTATAGTTGTCATCACTCACGATGTAGTTGTCATCACTCACGGTGTAGTTGACATCACTCACGGTGTTGCTGTCATCACTTACAGTGTAGTTTACATCATTCACGGTGTAGTTGTCATCACCTATAGTGTTATTATCATTATCTACAGTCTTTTGTTATCACTCACGGTGTAGTTGTCATCACTTACAGTGTAGTTAACATCCCTCACGGTGTAATTAACATTACTCACGATGTTGTTGTCATCACTCACGATGTAGTTGTCTTGAACTTCCGGTGTACTTGTCATCAAAGTGTTATAAGCATTACCTACGGTGTTGTTGTCATCACTCACTGTGTTATTAGTATTACCTTCGGTGTTTTGTCATCACTCACGGTGTAGTTGTCATCACTTATAGTGTTATAACCATTATCTACGGTATTTTGTCATCACTCACGGTGTAGTTGTCATCACTTATAGTGTTATTATCATTATCTATGGTGTTTTGTCATCATTCACGGTGTAATAGTCATCACTCACTGTGTATATGTAGTTAACATCTTTCACGGTGTACTTTATATCACCTATAGGGTGATTATCATTACCTTCGGTATTTTGTCATCACTCACGGTGTAGTTGTCGTCATTCACGACGTAACTGACATCCCTCACGATGAAGTTGTCATTATTCAAGGTGTAGCTACAACACTCACGGTGTAGTTGTCATCACTTACAATTTAGTTAGATTTTAAAGGTCACATGGACCAATATTTTTAAATCTTTTAACTGGTTTTTTGAATAACTTATAGTCATAGGTACTGATTATTTGCCTGCAGCTTTATTTTATTCCAATTTTAAAGTTTCAAGTGTGAGATTAATACAAGATGAGCGATGCCAGCCGATTGGGTCTCATGGCGTCTCTTTGTTTATGTTGTGACATTTGTGAATATCTGACAAATTCCAGGTTTTATACTGTTGTTATTACTGCTTTGCTTATATATACAATGTAGCTATTTAAGTAATTCGCATCCAACAAACATTTGTTTGTTCATAATCAATGTCCATATTGGACCACACTGTCGACAGCTATATGTATCTATACTGGGATATCTGTGTCAATTTAAACTTACAAAATCAAAATTAGTTTTTGCAAAGTATGTTTTATTATTTTCTCCATGTAAAATGTACTTAAACAAAGCATAATTTGTAACTGAAAATATATCAATATCAGACTTGACCTTTCAAATCACTTACAAAAGGTCATCTTATGCGCCTTTCAGTGCAGTGTGATAAGCCCAAAGCAATGTCCAGTCATTTGAATAATACATATGACCAACTCAGCATTTCACAATGTTATATACATATGCATATGTATATCACCAATAATTTAAGTTAATAGCACTGCTGTCGAGTCTTTTGAATAATACAACTGGTCTTGTAGACAGCAAGGTGTGATTCTAAGTAATAAACAATTATGTCCGCTGGTTAAACACGCATGTCTGTGGTGAACGTCTACAGCGCTTGTACTTATACTGTCGTTTTTATATTAGTCCTTTGATAACAACATGCCGAGTATGCAGGTGACCGATCTGTATTTACACTTACTCTATTTACTTTTTAAACGTTTTGTAACAAACGGCCCTGTTTGTTTCCTTCTAACCAACGAAATTAAACGACGCTTGTGTTATCTTCTTTGTGCTTGAGTCTACCGCTCTAACCTCCAACTCTGTTCCTCCAAAGATCATTTCTACTTCCACCGACCTATGTATTCCTTTAGAAATGTCCGGCATCTCGATTCTGAGCATACCTAGCTTCTGACATTTTTCGTTTGTGACGTAATCGGGATCGGGTTCCTCTGAGGCGTAGACAGGGAGGTCGATGCCAGTCTCGTGCGGGCTGCTAACATGGAAGGCGTACTTGTTGACAGCGGTTCCCAGTTCTACGGATGTTTCTGTACAGGCATATACTTTAAATCCATTTACGCATCTACTATCCCCCTTTGCTCCTTTCACTCGGTACTCCTCCTTGTCTTTCCCTTCTCTGAATGTCCTGTTGCAGGCAACGCCGTACGTGAATCTGCAAACTCTTGTTGTTATGATATTGGGTACATGCCCATTGATTACAGCCCCTTTCAATATCGATAAACCAGCTTCATAAGGAACAATAATCTTCTTGTCGGAGAAAGCAGTTTTGATGGCATGTTGAAGAAGTTCACATTCAGAATAGCCTCCCACCATCAGGATAATTGATGTCCCTTTCACCTCCGGTTTGGAAAAAATGTTCTTCACATGGGAGATAATAGCATCAATAGATTTCGAAAACAAATCTCTTGCCAGCTTGTCGGGGATTTGGAGTTTATCTCTCACCCATGATACGTTACCGTGCTTTTTGTTAGACCCAGTATTTGGGTCCCCACCTTTCTTTCCTGTCTTGGACAATTTCTGTAAAACTGGGGGAACGGTGATCGTAACACTGCCGTCTGTTTCTTGCTGAATGGTTCTTTTCTTCATTTCGAAATTCCTGTACAGGTTCAGCGCATCTAAAATCTCATTTTGTTTAAAGTCTTGGAACAGATCCTTGCCAACGATATCTTGTAAAAGCTCCTCAAACTGCTGGTCGACACTTGTACCTCCCCAGTCACCTCCGTTTGCTTTGTAAAGTTCCTTTAGGACCCCGCCACTCTGTACCTCCTGAACCGTAATGTCAATTGTACCACCTGAAAAAAAAGACAAAGACAAACTTATGTAGAGTAATGAATGGCCATATCTATGATCATCTTGGCGATAAGTCACCTACAATGTAGCCATTCTGCCTCAGTTGAATGCAAACTTATCAACCCCAATTGCTATTGCAATAATAAAGTAAAGATTAATCATTGCACATAATCCAACCATTCTTCAAAGAGTAAGTTCAATAACATAGTTTCAAATTTTTTGAAATTGTTCAATATTATCTGTAAAACATTTTTAGTTGTTAATAGTTTGCTCTAGTTCTGTGGATTTTGAGTTTGAATGGTGGTTTTGTTGGCAATTCAGTATTCTCTCTGTTCTCTCACAATGTGTGATATCTTTTGTTAGTACGGATATCCGACACTCACCCCCAGCATCCAGAACCATATATTTCGTTCCTTTTTGGAACACTGTCATATTTTCTCCGTCTGCACATATCTTGTCTATAGGTAAGTTGGTGCAATAAATTGCAGCAGCTTCAGGTTCCAGTACCAGCTTCAGATGAGTTGGGGATATTCCCGCCTACAATTGAAACGTGTGTAAGAATAGTCTGGAAGTTGTTTAATGATATGTGAGACGATTCAACTACCTATATGATAGAAGGCGTCAAAAATATATATAAAAAAAAAATCAATTCATTGCTTTTCTGATGAATAAATTGGTATGAAATCAAACGAAGCTGAAGTGAAATACATTTATAAACTAAAGCATCGACACTCTTACAAATGGAAACTCCTCTGAAACATTACTCATTATAACAAACAGCTGAATGCACTGGTCTACAGTACATGCCAAATATATATTACTAGGGGTTTTCTAATACAAATGAAATACACGTTTCTTTTCACCTGTTCAGCTGCTTTCCTCATGAATTGCTTTCCGGGTTCCGTCCATATAGCGGGTACTGTCAGGATCCAACGAATATCACCCTTATCGAAAGTCACGCCCTGCTTTTCGGCTGTTTTTAGTAAGTGATCCTTCAGAAATTCGATACATGCAGAGAACACATCCATTGCCTTCATCGATTTTCCATCTTGCGTTTTGAGTTCGAAACTGCTACTGAAGTCCTGTGTTAATTAATTGGCATTGCGTATTAAGACACTTGACGCTATAACCAATACCACAACCATATACATATTAGATCGCAAATATTTCCTCGTATCCTAATAGTTGTTAAGTAAAAAATAAATCTCTTGTATTAAAGATATCTTAACATAGATGATGTGTTTGATGAAATAATTAAAATATCATTAACGCCGAAATAGGAACGTTTGTAAAGTAATATTTTTTATGTAATTTTTATTGTGACTATAATTTTGACGAGTTAAAATTACGTTAACTACATTTTAAAGCGTTAGTATGACAATTGAAGGACTTTATTACGACTTTCTCTCTATTATTACTGATTTTTCCCTGTCATAAATATGTTTATTTAAGCATTAAACTACCTTCTTTGGAAATGTGTTGTCCTTTAATTCTTACAGGACTGCACAATAACTTTCCAAAGAAGGCAGTTAATACTTATATTCCCGTTTTTAATTTAAGTTTTTCTTATATTTCCAACCTGTTATCGCATTGTAAAGTCAAATTTCGCGCTGTCTGTCAATGGGACCTGTTCTTGTGACGTCACGAGTACACGCGACCATTCCCGGCAAATAATATAGTTCGTGGAAATAAACACAAAATCCTCAATTTGATTTCAATCAAATATTTCCCGTTACAAGCGCATGTTAAACTAGTAACATGTACATAACAACATAAATGAGTATATTATATTAAAGACATACAATATATGCTGTAAATCCGTTATAAAATATACTTTATATGTGGTTTGTGTGCTTACACTTCGGCTGTATAGCTCCATCTTGAACCTTCGAAAATAGTACCATTCCTCGTGTTCTTCATCCAATGCCAAATCGGAGTATTTGTCTTCAGCTTCATAACCAAACGAGTGAAACTTTTTGTTTTCATCAAAAAGGACACACGTCGGAGTCTTTTGTGACTGCAGACGGGCTGATCCAGCCACCCAGGAGGCTGCTGATATCTTCAAGGGAGATGTCTCATAGTCGTGTTTGGTTGAGAAGGCATACCCGGAATTAGTTGTTCCGAAGTCAATCGCTGCCACAAAAGGATACCCAGACATGACTGTAAGCACAAAAATAATGCAGTGAGCATAGAACTCTGTGTGGACGAGTCTGGCCTGATAGAGAAGGCATACACAATTATATTTTTTTTGTCAGATAAAAACACCAACCATAATTTATATCAAGAGAAGTTCACAGTGTATATTTTAAAATATAGGACATATATATTATGTATATGAAAGAATGTCAACACACAAGAACAAAGATAAACAAATATGCACAAGGAAATCAATTGTTTTCTTGCATACACTATGTCTGAAATAAAGAACTGCCGTAAACATCATATGTGTATAATCCTGTGGTACCAGACTACTTGCCTGTTCTCCTATGTTCTAGGAAGATAACATGTAACTCTACGCTTTTTTCCTACATCCAGAACCCGGCAAAGTGTATCAGCACTGACATTAACCCCATGTCTATTCATCCTTATGCTTATGCCATACAACGCACAGTATCAGGAGGTTGAGCTTATAATTCATCGTTTCCCAAAATGTTGATAACAGTAAGGTAAATCGACATTCACTACTAGCCCAGGAGTATAACCTCTCTGTAAGTATATTTTACTCGGACCTTCGTAAACGTTTATAATATACGGTGTGGAGCTAACTTTACAATGAAGACATTTTAATATGTGTATACAATTTGTATATCCTGCATTCAAGCTATAGATTATTGAGCAACTATTAAAGAACTATCTATTACTTCCTGTTTCTTATCTGCTCACCTTCATATAATATATATTGATCACCCTGTTTACATTATGAGCGTTATATGTATGAAATATAGCTTCTTTTATTACAGAAAATAGCATAAACCCTAAGCGATAACACGAATTAATAGTTATATACTGATGTTTTTAGATATTGTTTATCCAGTTAAATGACTATATATGTTTGTACCTACCTGTCTATTCCTCAGTATCACCTACCCAGCGACCAGTCAACGAATTGCCGTGTATTAGGTTTGGTGCTGTATTTTAATCTACTGGTCAATGCCAGTTTGAAATAAACAACTCTAACTAGAATCACGTGATATCCTGTCTTGACTTGTACCAGGAAGTATATTACCAATGACGGTTTTAAGGTAGACGGTCCCCGACAGCTTTGATAAGTTGAGAAATATATGTGTATACAATATACCTACTGTTGCACTGATAAAGAACTACAAGTGAAGTTTATTCTAACCGATACGTATAACAAATACAGACAAGCTCAACGAGACAATTCACGGACCAGGACCGCTGTATTCTTTTAAAGTGAGTATTAAAACCTTCGTATATATTATTTTCTCTCTATTTTCAGCAATATGCAAGTGCACTTTTCTTTGGTTTGAATTGACTAACGATAAAATAATTTGATAACACAAACTGTTAGTCCAGTGGCTTACACGTATTTGACAGGTGTTGGTAATGTACATGTATTAGCTGTTTCTATGTACTTGCATACCTCCATTACTACAGTGACGCAGTTATCAAGCTAACTGACTTGATACTTTTAGTCTTTTATAGTCAATGTCCCTAGTCTGTAAAGATGATTTTCTGACTAAATTCGGAATCTTATCCTTTCTATTCTTTCTAAACAGCTTTCTTCTTCCTAATGTCTCCCTCGACATTGCCTCACTTTTGTCCTGTAGTTGAACGTTCGCCCCTGTGAAGAAGGCTTTAGATACTGTCCCCTGGCCGAGATATACCAGAGTCGGTAAAAATGGTAGTTTTTACTTCTGGATAACGCTCCGCAATTTAGGAGTGGGACGACTGGGTCGCCCGTTGTCAGTGTTGTGACCGGGTGGTGTGTCCTTCTGAGTGTCTTCGGCAGTATGTTTCAGTGAGGTAGTACTATAAAGTCGGCATCAGTTCCGCACTATCACAAGGAGACAAACACGAACATATCACAACCTCCAAAAACACACACGCATACACTACACTCATGTATCTTTCACACAGGGGAGCCGTCCTTAATTGACAATAGCTGTTGATAGGACGTTAAACAATACTAAACCAAACCAAACCAATCCTTAAGTTGCAAAGGTCTTATGACATTACAGTATGAAATACAACTTAGATAATCAGAACTATAACATATGTAAATGTTTTAACATAATATGTTCAGAGTGTAGCGTTATATACATTTTAGCGCAAATTGACGATTTGTCTACACACCTTACTACAGTCAAACTAACTAAACTTACATTAGAGACTCTGTTACTTATAATGACTAATGAGTATCGAAGTTATATGACACAGTGTAAACCTTTAAAGATTCTGACGCACAAAATTTTATGAAAATGTGTCGACGGATAAAAACAACAAAAGCCATCTTTGAATAGATGAGGTACCCGGTAGCAGTACACATGTCAGGTTGTACTTGTTTCCTATTGGTACAGACAACAAGAAACGACAAACTGGGTAACTTAACTTGTATATGTTCTTAGAGAATAGAAGTTACATGCACGAGAATTATAATCACTTAATTTAGTTCCATGTAAAACATCAACCTTGTCAAAGCCTAGACCTACTTAAGCGCATAATGTAAATCATTAGAATAATCTTCAATAAAGTGTTCAAACATCGATAGTATTTTCCATTACCGAGATTTGGTCAAATCATGTTCTTTACTAAACTCCCGAATTACACAAGGAATCCAAATGCCAACTCCTGACTATCACATACACAGCGATGAACGCGAATATTTTTGTACACGAAATGTATGAAATTATACGTTCTGCATATACTGATATGTTAAGCCCACAATCATTAGATGGGTTGGCTGTTCAAATTGCCATTCGTCCGTGGTCAGTGGTCCTTGGTCCATGGTCCGTCCGTCCTTAAAATTAGTGTTAGCGCATGTTCTCAAAATGTACTGGAACGATCTTTCTCAAACAGTAACTTGACATGAAGGTTGCTCATGGTTACTTGTTATGAATATCGAATTTTGGAATTGATCGAAGAACCAAGATGGCCGACAGGTGCCATCTTGAATTGTTAAAGCTAAAGCTTGTTAGCGCTATTTCTCAAAAAGTCCTGAAAGATTCTTTCTCAAATATCACAGTTCCCCATAGTTCCTTGTTATGCATATCCAATGTCGGGACTGATCGTAAAACCAAAATGACCGAAAGGTGCCATATTGAATTTTTAGAGTTAAAGTTTGCAAGTGCTTCTTGTCACAAATTACTAGAGGGATTTTCTCAATTTTGATATGTAGGTTCCCCTTGGTCTTTGGTTGTGCATGTTTACTTTGTAATCCGATTGGATAAACAAAATGGCCGACAGGCGGCAATCTTGGATTTTGACAGTATATTTGTTATCGCTATTTCTCAATAACTGCCGGATAGATCTTTCTCAAACATGATAGATACGTTCACTCTGGCCTTTTTGGTGCATGATACCACCTCGAGACTGATGTGATAAACATTATGGCCTACTGGAGGCCTCTTTGATTTTGATATTTAAGGTTTGTTAACGTTATTTCTCAGGTAGTACAGTATGGATCTTTCTCAAATTTGATATGTAGGTTCCTCTTTGTCATTGATTGTGCATGAACAACATTTTGGTGGCAATCTTTGATTTTGACAGTATAGTTTGTTATTACTAGATCTGTCTCTTATTAGATATGCATGTTAAATCATCATCATCATCATCATCATCATCATCATCATCATCATCATCATCGTCGTCGTCGTCGTCATCATCATCGTCGTCATCGTTGGCGGCGTCGTCATATTGTTTATTTTTTATGTAACTTCTAATGTTGATGTTGGGTTGTTTGCTGGTAGAAAATGGCACAAAGGCCCGTCGGCCGACATGAAACCTGGAAGCCCGATACCAAGACCAGGTCAATCAAGGTATGTCCTATATAGAGAGGTATCATATACACAGTGATATACAACGACAAGTATATAATAAATGTATATACATGTTATTAAATCCCTGAAATTAGAATTAACCCAGGAAGATGATAATGGGGTTTTCACTCCAACAAATACATACATAATTCATGATCAGCATACAAACGTTAATCCTGTCTTCATGAATTTAAGCTATAAACAATACAAACATAAAATCTTCAAGCGGTGGCAGACAAGTTTTGATACAAATACATTCTGTTATTACATGCGGTTATACGTGTAATTCTACAAGCTTTTTATTTAATGCATAGTAATGTATTACTATTGGATATTATATGAGCATATTGTATTGCTGACTATTTAATTCATTTTCAAGATGGCTTTCAATAGTCACTATTTGAATTCGTACTTTATCTCAATGCAAACAGCATCGAGCATTTATTATATACTCTTTGTATTCGCCAATTGCACTTACAAGTAATATAATAGCAGAATTGATATTTTTTCCGTATTGGCCGCTGGTGGGTGGTTTTTCGGCGGGCACTCCGGCTTTCCTTCACCACCAAAACCTAGCACGTTCTTAAATGAATCAAGCTGTAAATAGGACGTAAACAATCCTTTTGCAGTTACACAAATAATAAACTAGCAGAATTGATATACTTTCCATCGAGTTGATGCAATATTACAATTAGAAAATTTAATGTATGTTTACCGTATTATAGAAAGTTTTTATCAAGTTTGTACACTATCTGCTTCCAGACAAGAGACCTCAAAGATACGCCATATTCTTTGGTAGCGGCCATTGACTTCGGATCGACATTTTCTGGATATGCTTTCTCCACTAAATTTGATCACAAATTAGACCCATTGAAAGTAAGCAACATGACATGGACTGCAAAATGCGGGGGCCTTTTATCCCTTAAAACGTCTAGTTGTATACTGTTTGATCCGACAGAAACATTTGATTCCTTTGGTTTCGATGCTGAAGACAAATACGCGGATCTAATGCAGGAAGACGAAAACAATGGCTGGTTTTTGTTCCGTCGCTTCAAAATGACTCTTTACTATGAAAAGGTAAATTATCTTTCCTGTTTCATACCTTTTAAGATTATATCAATTGTTGTTTGCAAGATAAATGATTATTTAAAACTAATATAACTTTTCTAGTATACCAGAAAAACCTAAACGGAAATGAAATATAAACAACAGTTATCACGAGTTCGGACATACAATTTCTTCCAATATGATTATATAATACGAAAACAAACAATTCTTGTGCGATTCATGTAACGTTACACTATAATATTGCACCAAGAGTCATAGAATTTTATGTAATTCTACCGTATTCAGCTTTCAATTTTTACATTATCATGTTTGAAACTTTTGTTTAGGAAATATCGCGTGGAATGAAGTTGAAAGCCAGCAATGGTAAGGAGATGTCAGCTATGAAGGTATTTACGTGTTCCATACGATTCCTCAAAGACCATTTATTGGATATGTGTAAGTTACGAGGTGTTGGTATTGACATGTCAGAGATTCGCTGGATCCTCACCATGCCTGCTATTTGGAACGACCGAGCAAAACAGTTCATGCGGGAATGTGCAGAACAGGTAAAGTTCTAGATTTTATGTGATTTAGAAATTTTTAAAAACCTCGATACAACAATTGCTTGAATGATACATTTAAGATACGTCTTATGTAGTTTATATGAGAACATTTATAGCCAAGTGTGCTTAATTATACCTATTTCAGATAATGTAAGTATTATCATGCACGCGGATCTCCATATAACATACTTTGACCATACACATTTGTAATTGACTTGAATTCAGCTTCAGTCAGTGATTCAGTTTTTTCCAAACGAAGGAGGAATTGATAATCGTTTTTTTGTTTTTTTACTTTTGGTTTTAGAAATCTTACGAACAATAATTATAGAATAAATACAAACTACGATTATAGATGACCATGTTATACAATGTAAATACATGTATTTAGTACATCTAAATGAAATATCCCCTTCCACTTAGTCACAGCGCATTTTCAATTATGATGTCATACTAGGCATCATTGCACCGCAAAGGTGAATCAACCACATACAGTCTTAGAGCCCGTATCAAACATTTTAAGTTAACTTTTTACGTTTTTTTTTATTTTCCAGGGAAAGCTTTTATCTGTTTTAATCCGATTTTTAGTAATCTTGACTCGCAAAATAAAAATGTGATTATTTTTTTAAAAGGCCGGAATTCCTGGTCCCCAGCTTATCCTTTCTTTGGAAGCGGAGGCCGCCGCTCTTTTCTGCAAATATCTGCCTCTTTCCGAAATGGCAGTGGGTAAAGCGGGGAATGTATCTGTGTTTAAACCTGGAGCAAAGTACTTAGTGCTCGACGTGGGAGGTACGTACTGATTGTAAATAATAAACACAGTACAAATGTGTCTAAGGACAAAATTGCACAGTGCATTATCAAGTGTCAGCAGCACATGGCCTTTTTTATTTCATAAAAGTTTGAGTAAACGCAACGGCTTTCTAAGCAAAATACGTGTACTTGACGATGTTATAAGTTAAAATATATATTTATTTAATTTTCACAACTATGGACAGAAACGCATCTAGATAGTTCCTAATTACGTCCGTGAAGTACCGTATATGTACTTCCCAGATATCTTACACTTTCATAACAAAAAGATAAACATATGTTGATTGACAGATGCTAATACAGACATAGTCCATAGTCTTTAGATTTGGGTATATGCTAACATGAAATGTTGAGTAAATTTTCAAAATTTGAGGTAAAACGGTTAAATAACATGCATTGGCAAGGACATAACACAGACGTGACGCTTTGACACGTAGCTTTATTAACATATAGGTTCAGTTTATTGAGGTGCTTGGTCCCTAAAGTGATCCCTGTTAGATATACCGATGATGTGTTATCTTTATATAACAGGAAAATCAATTTACCATATCGATTCTATGTATCCTCCTGGACGTGAAAGCAAGGACAACATATGCTACTTTCCAACATGGCCAAACGGGAACACAGTATTTACATGTCACAGTTGTAAGGAATATAATAATTTCAGTGAAATAAGTCAGATGCTGAGGTCAACGGTGTTCAAGCGTGAGGGAGTTTACCAAGTATTCCATATCTTTCAATGATATTTATTTGAAGATTTTAAATGTGCAGATCAGTTTGAGTCTGGCATCACTTTGATTTAACCTATATATGCATTTGGGGTACTGTCGATGAACCAGAAGACGCTTACCTCTGCGAAACACACGGTTTTATTCTTCTTTTTTTCCTTTTTCTTTTTCATATTTTTTTCCTTATGTTGTCATTGTGTCGTGGAATTGGAGCTCAAACAATAGATTTTGTTTTCACTTCACTTTTAAATTGTTTTGACAAATTAAAGCTTATTACAAGAAAAACAGGCAATGGAAATATTAACCATTATCAGTAGTACACATTATTTACCGACACTTTTGTAAATACGACAAAAGCATAAATGTACACAGTTTCCGATACTAAGCTGAACTGAATAAAACAATCAAGATTCTACAATACTTTCGTTACTTTCAGGTGGCACAGTGGACATCACTGTACATGAGGTACAGGACGACCTGAGACTGAAAGAGTTATACATGGCCAATGGCGGTGAATGGGGTGGCACGATGGTTGACAGCGAGTTTATCAAGCTACTCTCGGAGATCTTGGGAGACAACGTTGTGGAGAATTTCAAAAAGAACAACCAGGCTGATTTCCTAGATCTACAAAGGACGTTCGAAGCAAAGAAGCGAACTATCAGTTCTACAAAAGAAGCGAAGATAACATTCATACTTCCTATTAGTCTACTCGATACCTTCAATCAGATCAACCCCAAACTGAATCTCACTGAGAAAATCAAAGCAAACAGCAAATTTCACAAAAACCTTACCTGGAAAATGGATAAAATGCGACTAAATGCGGAACTTGCGAAAGAGTTATTTTCGAAATCTGTGAAAAGAATCGTTGATCACGTGATTGACCTTCTACATAAACCTGAAATTGAACACGTCCAAGCCATACTACTGGTAGGGGGTTATTCAGAATGTCCGTTACTTCAGGAAGCAATAACAAAAGAGTTCCCAAAGAAACGCCTCGTTATTCCGCAAGAGGCAGGATTAGCTGTTTTGAAAGGGGCGGTCGTTAACGGACATGAGCTAGAAGCGGTCACCGAACGAATCAGCCGATTGACGTACGGGGTAGGAACTAATATGCCTTTTAATCCGGGAACCCACGAGGAAAGCCGAAAGTTCAAAGACGATGACGGGAAGGACCTGTGTAGGGGGTGTTTCTGTGCACACGTGAGATATGGAGAGTCGGTACCGGTTGGACTTACTGGGCGGTGTGAGCGATACTGGGTAATGGAATCAGACCAAACCGAGCTCCCAGTATATATCTACACAACAAAGAACTCGAATCCTAAATATATTGACGAGGAAGGCTGTGAAATCATAGGGGAAGTCATTGTGGAAATGAAAAACACTGAGAGAGGCCTACAGCGTGGTGTCGACGTGGAGTTTACCTTTGGAGGAGCGGAGATTGAGGTGACCGCATACGATATACATTCACGTGAAGAACAAACAGCATATTTCAACTTTTTAGGCTAATATTACAAGCCCTACATTATCAAATTTATAAATGTGATGCAATTAAGAATGTGACAAATGCACTTGAAGTGCAAGCTATAATGAAATAAAAGGGCACTTTTTATCCCAACATATAGCAACTTACAAGTGGAGGTAAAACGCACTGTTCCATGAAGTGTGGGCATGTTCGATATATAAACAATGGAACTTGCAGAGTTCAAACATAAGATTCATCCTTAATGAGATTTATACTTCATCGCTATTAAAATGTATTTACAAACAACGAGTTATTTTTTTATAAACATGACAGAAGGATGCAACTAAATTATATACCTAAAGGTCTTTGCAAATAATTACTCTTCTATATTGGTAATTCGGAAGACGTATTCTATTAGTCAATACACTATTTGTTTCTGGGCATATGCTGTTTGATCGAGGTCTTCTTAACATCCATTTCATCAGCAACATTCATTCCTTTTTCTGGATGATGTCAATTTTCAAAATGTGTTGCTTTAGTCATTATAGTTTCTAATTTAAACGCATTTGATATCGTGGGTGGGCAAGGGGGTGGGTCCACGGTAAACAGGATTAAGATTAGAATTTAAAAAAAAATATTAAAAAATAAAAGTGAGTATATACAATACCAGTAATGTGAACTTAACCAACGAATGCTCAAAATTTCCATCAACAAGTTTCTGTTGTGAATATATGCACCTTACGTTTAAGGTAGCACAATATAATTTATAACCAGTATAATTTCTATACTTTTCATTATTGAATCGTTTTAGGAGAAATTATTGCGTGTGTTCTTCCTTAATAAACCTTAAAATGATATTGAGAAGAAGTTAATACTTTTGTAATCATGTATGAACTGAAAATAATAACGTTGGTAACGAAAAATATAGAGAAACAGTGCAAACGAAACGGGGTGAATTTGTGCAACAATTAATGTAAATGTATCAATTCAAATGAATCTTTGAAAGGCCTGAGCACAGGCTAGAATCACTGCAGCCTTTAAATAGACACAATGTGTAGAAATAAGAATATCGTTAACCTCTAGAAATAACTCGTAAATCATCATAACAACTTTCATTCTGTAACCATTTAAATAGATTCTCTTATAGGAATGACACCAGTGATTATACAATGCAGGGTGGTCGGATGTCGTGGTGGATACCGCGGCGACTTGGGTTCGATTCCCTGATTGGACGTGAACAAGTTTTTGGTCAACTATACGACCGCTTTGGATTTTTTTCCGGGTAATCCAGTTTCCTCCTATATTTTATCCCCCTCTCCTCCCCAGCCACCACACCCCAACCCCCGAGCCCTAGCATCCGGGCAAACAAGAGATATTAGTATAAGCTGAAGCAACTATGTTAATAATTGTTGTAAAACAGATAAAGTTGATTATTAGTATAGAACGTATATGTTACAAAATATAATCCATAGACTTTCCTTACCATTAGAGTGTACTTGGTATATCAGTCTTGTTCTACTTGCTCGTGATTTCTGACCAGCTAATTTATAAATAAACCCTTTGTTTAGCCATGGTCAGCTGCTTTTGATAGTAATTTACCAACACATTTGCAGCAATCGACAGTGGACATCAAAATTACCGCCAAGCTTACAACTGTGCAATACTTTGTGTGGACACGACTGAAAAGGTTCTCGCTGATGTGGGGGACTTTTTATTATTTCATATCGATATCGTGTGGAATATGTGGTCCAATGATTTTAATTGGTTGTGAGAGTTTTTAATTATTTATTTCTATCTAAGGTGAAATATATTTTAACAAAAAGCACTGCTATGATTTGGATTCATTGCGATGCGATGCTAAAGTAATGCATTCGAACGATATACAGTGTAATATATAAATACGGTAATGGGGATTTTGTTTAACAATATCCTCGGCATATTCATACAGTGTATAAGATATACCTCACTTCATGTACTTTGTTACATTTACACAGGGTAGCATTAATTGATTATCTGGCATCTAAGGAATGTTTTACAAAAGCAACAAAGACCTATATATATTTGTATATGACACATGCTGTTTACGTACTTTTATTCATACCCAAACAGCCGATTGACCAATACCATTCCATGTAGAGTGATATATGATACTCCGATTAACGTAGCCATACTTATAATTATCTGGCACCCTGTAGTCAGTATGAAACATGTTTAAAACCCTATGTAAACAGAATTAGTCTGGAAATCTTTCAAATCATGTAATTGAATACAGACCAAATAACATTTTATGTTAATGTTTCATAATAGGGGTATTCAAGTACAATATTACAATGTATACATTATTTTTCTAGTGTGATAGAATCGATAAAATAACACACACGGCCTGGAATTTAGAAACAATAGTTGGCATTGGTCTTAAAATGTAATTGTTCATAGACAGTGAGACCTATTAAAGAAAACATGCACGTCGGATACGTTTTGAGAAAAAAAAGATATTATATACATATAACAAATATATATGATGAACAAGACTGTGTTATGGTTGATACATACATATAGAACTTGCAAGTGTAACGTTAAATGTACAAAATAACCGTACAAACATGCACTCGCTTTATTTAAAGTAGCAAGTTTCGCCTCGCGCCAATTACGCTTAGTCGATTTCATTTGACAATAGTAAGAAACATGTACATTCACTAATTTAATGAATTCTGCAGGGGCAGATGTACAGAATATTATATCGCCACGAGTGACGATATTACTGCTTTATCAGATCGGTACCTTCTATTCACCTCAATTAAAGTTGCCGATATTTTTGAAGTTTAAAGACTTATATTTTGCAGTCGAATACCTTTGAACACTTTGAAAAAGAAACAAACGGATATTAACGTTTTTGGTCGTTTGTTACATGTTTTTTTTTGTGACACTTTATACCCTAGAAGTTGAACTAATAGAAGGTGTCTTTGTAGACAGCAAAACATCTTTTGATAAATCCCGAGCATCCTCTCCACAAAAAAAAAAGGATTCTTCTATCACAACTTTTTATTTATCAACTGTATCAATCTGATTGAAATCATCTATTACACGGCTCCGTTAACTTCGTACTATCTGTTCAGGCGTAGTTCGATTTTAACGAGCCAAGTAACGGATAATTTTAATCACGCCGATCGTATATATCGTCCTGAACTTTCAATTAACTATTTCGTTTATACCATTTAAGATGGTTCTAGACCGCTGATGATGACCGCACCATACTTTTTTGGACTGCCTTGTTGACATAAAGTCACGCTTAGCGTGTCATTATTCTGTTAGGACTATGCTCACTTATTTCGTTCAGCTGTAAGATCGATTACACGGGTCATGCTATGTCTGCTACAGACCAGGAAGTCAAATAGTTAGTGCTATAGAGCACATATATCTGACTAAGATATCAATGCCGCCACGTTCAGCCGATAGCGTTCGTCTGTAAAGTACGGGACCTGATTTCCTTCCGATAAGTAAGTTTCGGTAAGTTCATTTGTGTGCATTAATAGGGGTAGCTATTAATACTTCAAGTATAGCAATGATGTCCATACAAATATCATCTTCACGAGTTTACTGATAAGCAATTCATCAAAATAAAAGTCATAAAATTAATTTTTATGTCAGCAAGGTAACATGTTAAGAGACTGCAGCTTGGTTTGTTGTACATATTAACTACTTCACAAAAAACAACAGAACATAGAATTGTTGTTTAATGGTCATTTATTAATGACAGGTACAAACTTGTGACACTACAAGTTCAAATTTGTATTATCAAATATTAGTTATGTTGGATAATACATAGATCAGAAGTACATTTACTTCTGTTTATATGTAACAACAACGGTTGGGTACAAATGATTGGCACCGATGAGGGATGTAACATACATATATGGATGAATTCATGATATGTATTTTTAGACACTCATGTCATGCCTATTTACTGAAATGTATTCAACGAAGAATTTATTGCTCTTTTACAACTACCATTTTACTTGCAACGTTATCCTCACACTTTAGCTTGTAATAGATTTTATTACATGTTGTTTTTGTGAATTATGGACATTAACACCAAGCATGAACTGTCATTCGCACACAAGCTAGTGTATATCACAATCAATAAGTATGGTTTTATCATAAGTAAATGACAAGTGTCATATATGTAATCTTTGTATGATGAATCTGAGACAAAAGTTACAACCCGATTGTTGTATTAGGTGATGGTAAATCTATATTTGTTAAGTTTATGTACGCTTATATACATGACAGTGTCCATAGATATTCATAATATAAGGCATAATATACGAGCGTATGTGACTTATTCGTGTTAAGTTATCCTACGACATCTACCTGTGTGTTATACAACACAGCAGTGAACATACAAGAACTTTAAAATCAATCCATAACGGTATTGATTTAATGTTATGTTTCGTAGCAACTAGTTACTGCATGTTTAGGGATATACGCTGTACGCCATTAAACTCCCTAATCATTCAAATGAACGCTATTAAGGATCTGTCTTGACTAGTTTTAAGTCAAAACCTAAATTTATTCTGAAACACTTCACATAATGTACTAGTTGACATATAAAGTATCTGTCCTAGCCAAGCGTTTTTACTTTGTAACGTTATAACTGGTGTTAAGAGCACCTTTTCTATGTTTGCGTTTTTGGATCGATTTCGTGAATATTCAACCATGTGTTTCTTTACTTCGCGTTACAAGTCATAGGTAGGTCGTAATTCCTTCATGTTACCCTGTTCCTGTGATATAAAGTTTAATGTCCATTTTTTGTCAATATTTCGCTGTTGATCGGTGCGTGCACGCTTGAACATATGTCTGATTTATGCAAATGAAGTTGACATCATTATAAAAAAAAATGTTAATAGACAGCAATTCATTTCTGTAACTCGGTTTTAAACGCCTGTGCCTTTAACCATTAATTGTTTTTCTCACCAGATAGCAATTCTCTTTACCTGTAAGAACTGTATATACAAAACGCCTATGTGTCAGGAGTTCATGATGAAGTAACTACTCGTAATGATGCAGTAAGTGCTCGCTCATGATGAAGTAAGTACTCGCTCATGATGAAGCAGGTACACGATCATGATGAAGTAAGTACTCGATCATTATGAAGTAAGTACTCGATCATGATGAAGTAAGTACTCCCTCATGATGAAGTAGGTACCCGATCATGATGAAGTAAGTACTCGTTTATAATGAAGTAAGTACTGTACTCGATCATGATGAAGTAAAAACTTGCTTATGATGAATATAAGTACTAGCTCATGATGAAGTAAGTACTCGCTCATGATGAAGTAGGTACTCGATCATGATGAAGTAAGTACTCGATCATGATGAAGTAGGTACTCGATCATGATGAAGTAAGTACTCGATCATGATGAAGTAAAAACTCGCTTATGATGAAGTAAGTATTCGCTCATGATGAAGTAGGTACTCGATCATGATGAAGTAAGTACTCGATCATTATGAAGTAAGTATTCGATCATGATGAAGTAAGTACTCCCTCATGATGAATTAAGTACTCTATCATGATGAAGTAAGTACTCGATCATGATGAGGTAAAAACTCGCTTATGATGAAGTAAGTACTCGCTCATGATGAAGTAGGTACTCGATCATTATGAAGTAAGTACTCGATCATTATGAAGTAAGTATTCGATCATGATGAAGTAAGTACTCCCTCATGATGAATTAAGTACTCTATCATGATGAAGTAAGCACTCGATAATGATGAAGTAAGTACTCGTTTATGATGGAGTAAATACTCGCTTATGATGAAGTAAGTACTCGCTCATGGTGAAGTAAGTACTCGCTCATGATGAAGTAAGTACTCGTTCATGATGAAGTAAGTACTCGATCATGATGAAGTATGTACTCGCTCATGATGAAATGATGCTCGCTCACGATGCAATCAGTACTTATTTAAAATCAAACTAGTTCTCACTTATATTAAAATCAGTTCTCATTAATGTTAAATCAATACTCGCTTGAATGTTATTACGAGCTCTTGTTGAATTTATTACGAACTCATTTTGAAGTCAGTACGAACTCATTTTGAAGTCTTACGAATTCATGTTAAAATCAGTACGCGCTCATGTTGAAAACAATACGAGCTCATTTTAATGTCAGTACAAGCTCATTTTAATGTCAGTACGAACTCATGTTGAAGGAAGTCTTACGAATTCATGTTAAAATCAGTACGCGCTCATGTTGAAAACAATACGAGCTCATTTTAATGTCAGTACAAGCTCATTTTAATGGCAGTACGAACTTATGTTGAAGTCAGTACGCGCTCATTTTCATGTCAGTACAAGCTCATTTTAAGGTCAGTACGAACTCATGTTGAAATCAGTACTCATGTTGAAGTCAGTTCAAACCCATGTTGAAGTCAGTACGAGCTCATGTTGAAGTCAAAACGAACTCATGTTGAAGTCAGTACGAACTCATATTGAAGTCAGTACGAGCTCATGTTGAAGTAATTACAAACTCATGTTGAAGTCAGTACGAGCTCATGTTGAAGTCAGTACGAGCTAATGTTGAGGTCAGTACAAGCTCATTTTAATGGCAGTACGAACTTATGTTGAAGTCAGTACGCGCTCATTTTCATGTCAGTACAAGCTCATTTAAATGTCAGTACGAACTCATGTTGAAGTCAGTAAGAACTCATGTTGAAGTCAGTACGAGCTCATGTTGAAGTCAAAACGAACTCATGTTGAAGTCAGTACGAACTCATGTTGAAGTCAGTACAAACTCATGTTAAAGTCAGTACGAGCTAATGTTGAAGTCAGTACAAGCTCATTTTAAGGTCAGTACGAACTCATGTTGAAATCAGTACTCATGTTGAAGTCAGTACAAACTCATGTTAAAGTCAGTACGAGCTAATGTTGAAGTCAGTACGAGCTCATGTTGAAGTCAGTACGAACTCATGTTGAAGTAAGTACAAACTCTTGGTGAAGTCAGTACGAGCTCATGTTGAAGTCAAAACGAACTCATGTTGAAGTAAGTACAAACTCCTGTTGAAGTCAGTACAAACTCATGTTGAAGTACAAACTCATGTTGAAGTCAGTACGAGCTCATGTTGAAGTAAGTACAAACTCATGTTGAACTCAGTACAATATCATGTTGAAGTCAGTACGAGCTCATGTTGAAGTAATTACAAACTCATGTTGAAGTCAGTACGAGCTAATGTTTAAGTCAGTAAGAGCTAATGTTGAAGTAACTCCGAACTCATGTTGAAGTCAGTCCGAGCTCATGTTGAAGTCAGTACAAACTCATGTTGAACTCAGTACAATATCATGTTGAAGTCAGTACGAGCTCATGTTGAAGTCAAAACGAACTCATGTTGAAGTCAGTACGAACTCATGTTGAAGTCAGTACAAACTCATGTTGAAGTCAGTACAAGCTCATTTTAATGTCAGTACAAGCTCATTTTAATGTCAGTACGAACTTATGTTGAAGTCAGTACGAGCTCATTTTCATGTCAGTACAAGCTCATTTTAATGTCAGTACGAACTCATGTTGAAGTCAGTACGAGCTCATGTTGAAGTAAGTACAAACTCATGTTGAAGTCAGTACGAACTCATGTTGAAGTAAGTACAATCTCATGTTGAAGTCAGTACGAGCTCATGGTAAAGTCAGTACGAACTTATGTTGAAGTAAGTACAAACTCATGTTGAAGTCAGTACGAACTCATGTTGAAGTAAGTACAAACTCATGTTGAAGTCAGTACGAGCTCATGTTGAAGTCAGTACGAGCTCATGTTGAAGTCAGTACGAACTCATGTAGAAGTCAGCACGAGCTCATGTTGAAGTCAGTACGAACTCATGTTGAAGCCAGTACGAACTCATATTGAAGTCAGTACGAACTCATGTTGAAGTCAGTACAAACTCATGTTGAAGTCAGTACGAGCTCATGTTGAAGTCAGTACGAACTCATGTTGAAGCCAGTACGAACTCGTATTGAAGCCAGTACCCTCTGATATTTAATTTAGTATCAGTTCATATATAATTTCAGTACCTGCTCATGTTGTAATTAATACTCACTCTTATCGTAACTTTATCAGCATAACAAGCATTTATTTTGACTAACAGCATTTAGCTACCGAGGTATGCCGATTAGTACTGACAGGCCCATGCTGTTTTGTACTTTGGTCTTTATGATTACCTATAGACTCCTGCTGTTTATGCAATATAGTCTATACACAAACACTGTGTTCTGGGTTTTTTTAAGCAATCATTAGGTGTATATAATCTAGGGCTTTAAATACCGGGAACCGAAGCAGGAAGTATAACCCCAATCAGTTCTCAAAACATTTTTTTTTTTTTTTTTGAAATTGATACAAATCATTCAGGGTGCATGAAGCTCTGGCCTACCATGTTACTATAAATCTACCAGGATCAGCTCTAATAGACCAAAATATTACCTGATAATACACAAGTCGTAAGTGTATATCTTAGATTCAAATTCAATTTAATTTGATGCTCGTTTACCTATGTATAGCTTCTTTTTTCAACTATGTGTATGTATAATGTTAGATTTGCATTGCAGTAAGCAGGGAGAAATGGCGAGCAAGAAGACATTACCTAAACTAAAGACGGATCCGAAGATTAAATACAAACCACCCGGGTGCATAGACGCGACACGGCTTGGCATCCAGGTAAAGTACCTTATTTGAGAGTATGTGTGTATTACGTTTTGAATCTACAACCTGGCCTGACAATTTTGGAATTCCGGGACCTATTTTCCACCATAATATACAAACATATTTTGACTATATCTATTCTACCACATTCAATGTAATGGAAGTCTTTTTCGTGTCTACCTCAGTTTCCATACACCCTTTAATAAGCAAATTTATCTGGATAATCCAAAAATCAAAATTAAGCTGTATTTTGCGCGTGTAAACGGGATGTTTTTATGTCTTCATTTCACAACAAGCTGTGCATTTTCATCATTTCTGACTCAGTGGACAGTGACCTAGTTTGTCGATTTTAAGATCCCTGTGAGGCTGCCAGAAATGGTATCAATGCATTGACTTCAAATTGTTATACTTTCGCTCTAACCGACTGAGCTAACTGGCCAATTGAAGAGTCGATGCGCAACTGTGCTACAATTTTATCCAAAACGAGGGGAAGTTACTATATATAGAATAAACCACAGTGCAATGGGACAGGGATCCTACACCTGGTTATATATTTGGGGAATATTTTGCATTTTCAGTGTCCATTCGGTCGACAGGCGATGAACAATAAGCACCGACGGCGTGCATTATACCGGATGTTTATTTGAATCTATCAAAATGACCAATATACCCACATCGCTTTCAAACGCGTGAAATCAGCGTTTGACAGATTAACAAATATTGTTTGAAGTCACCTTCGCGGAAAGTTCGACGAAACATTCTGACCATGAGCTTCAAAGTTTCAAATAGAGGTGAAATAGGAACTGTTTTGTTTCCTGCTAGCAAATCTTCAAATACATACGAAATTAAATGTGTGTACCCTCAATCGACAAAAGAAACCAGTCCCGTGGCTCGCTTGTTTGCATTTGCGGGGGAGTTTTTTGGGGGAGCGATGCACACACATTCTATAGTTATTAATAAATGAAAAGTGTCGTTACGTCGGAGACGTGGTAGAATAACATATACAGTTATCGTGTATGTCTCAGGATTATACAAATTCTGTAACGATGGTATTACATGTTTTCGATTGTTTTGTACCAATAACAAACTGTGAATTATTCTTGTGTGTGACGCTTTTTGTTAGATTGTGTCTGTCTTGCTCATTTAAAATATCGCAGCAGGTCCTGGAGCACAGAAATTGAACACACGGTAGCTAAAGAAATGTTCTCAATTTGCTTTCAGAAGAAACATATGAAAGATACACCATATATCCTGGTAGCTGCTATCGACTTTGGAACAACTTTCTCTGGTTACGCCTTTTCGACACAGTACGAGTATAAACGGTCACCGTTAAAGGTGTCAAACATGAATTGGACTGCAGCATCAGGCAACCTTTTGTCTTTGAAGACTTCCACGTGCATTTTGTTCAAACCAGATGGCAGTTTCCATTCTTTTGGATTCGATGCAGAAGATAAGTACGCTGACCTGCTCGACCAACAGAAACATCAGTCCTGGTACTTTTTTCGACGATTCAAAATGAGCCTATACGAACAGGTAATGACACTCATAGGGATATATGTATATTGTTCTCAATATATAAGAAAGGTAAAAAGGAGCAAAAACCTTAATACGTATCTTTGATCAGGGCTTTAGCTTTGTGGTTTTCACAAACTATCTATAACAGACAAATTATTCATACCAAAGCTATAGCACAGGGACCGTCTTTGTAACAGGAGCGACTCATTCAGAACACCTGGTGTTGGCTCAAGTTTCTTATTTGTTTATTTATTTATTGTGGTGTTTCCTACTGTTGTGGTATCTCCTCGGCTCCTATTACTTAACGTTCGGCTCAATGTTCCAGTTAAATATTTCATAATTTTCACCACTGAAATTGCTAAAAAAAAATAGCATCATTAAATGTGTATGTACATAAATCCCGTATGAGTCTTTACATTAATTAAGTAGTGATTGTGAAGTCATACACCAAACCAATATCAGAAATATGCTAATTTTCTTCTGAAGGATATTACAAGGACAATGAAGATAAGCGATCAGAATGGAAGGGATATGCTGGCAATGAATGTGTTTTCAAGCTCGATCCGATTTCTGAAGGAGCATTTACTGGCAAAATGCCAGGAGAGAGGCACAGAGGTCCTGATGTCAGACATACGATGGGTTCTGACTATGCCGGCTATCTGGAGCGACAAGGCAAAGCAGTTCATGAGAGAGTGTGCTGAAAAGGTGAATTGTCCAACGACTTGTGCTGAATATGTTAAACAAAGAACATATATCTTACCCACTTTACATCAAATGAAATATGTTTATCAATACCACTTGTACTATGATTATTTGCAATAGTACTTATTAGAAATCATCGTCAACTTTGCCCGATGGAGCCAAGTTTGTCAGAATGACAGATGACAGATATTGATACAGTTCCTGACCGTGTTTTAAAATAATAAAGCAATCAATTAAACACACACGTTTGTATATCAACTCAAACGTTCGTGCGATAATTATAGATACAAATACATACCTGTAATACACTAACAAACTTTTTGTATACATTGATATAAAGTTGTACAATAGTAGTTACAATTAGCGTAGGAGTATGTTGGTATGACGTCACCTTGTAAGCAAGGCGTTACTGGAACGAAATCAATGTCTTTTATAAATACAAATAAAATCTTAGTTTTGCATTTATGAATGTATTTTATAACCTCTAAGTTGACGTTGTCAATGTTGGTTTGTTTGAGTAATGATATTTATTTTTTATGTATCTTTTGATTATTATTTTTTGACAGGCTGGGATACCAGGTCCACAACTGGTAATGTCGCTTGAGGCTGAAGCTGCCGCTCTCTACTGCAAATACCTCCCAGTCAGTGATATGACTGTCGGCAAAGCTGGCAACATCTCTATCTTCAAACCGGGGGCCAAATACATGGTGCTGGATGTCGGTGGTACGTGTTACTGGTATTCGTTATAGACGTAATCAGATATACCCTACGTGGGGTTTTCCAGGTACTCCGGTTTCCTCCCACATAAAGACTCCCGCGCGCTAACATTTGGGCCAAGAAAAGTGATTCATATGAGTTGAAATTTATTTATTTCATAATTTTTGTAAAATTAATAAAGTCTATATTTTTAAATTCGATATCCCCTATTTGTTTACAAACAGGGGCAGAAAAGATCAAAAAGGGAAGCTCCATCTTCACCTTCACCGAGTGTGGAAAGAAATAACTTACAGATTATAAACAAACATCCTCGGCATCCAGGGGTTACGCTCACTTTCGCTCTTTGCTGGCTATTTGATACTTGTCCTTTGAAGATTACAGAGACGCGACTCCCGACTTCAAAGCCAATACGTTTTACCGTTATGCGACCACGAGATTCTTTTAAAGTACATCAAATGATCAAACTAGCCTTCTTGTCTCATCCACAATGCGGTGCAAACTGACCCTTCGATTTTGCTATCACATATTCCAGGGGTGCAGAGAGTGAAAGTGAGCGTAACCCATGGATATCGAGGATTAAACAATACAACACAGACACTAACCTCGATAATTATTTTTAAGAAATCTATATAACGACAATTGTCATTTGTAATCACGTTTAACGTCGGCATGCAATGTATTCTAATGTCTCGTTTCGTATATATGTCAACATATCACCGAACCCCTTTATAATGCCAACAGTTTGATTGAGAGAGATGTTTTACTGAATTTTTGTTATTTCTATTTTTGCCATATATGAATGTTACTTAAAATATGTGTGTTTATCACGTAATTCGCCAACTTATCCCTCCCTGACTACCATCAACATATAGATGTCCGTTTATTATGTCGACAGATGCAGAATGATCATAATTGAAATAAAAATAGACGTTTTTATTGTTGAAAGTAGGTTTCAATTAAAATCATTAAAACTTACACAAATAATCAGAAAGATCGCATAGATAATGTTTCACTTTTAATAAACTATCGAATAATTCTGGATAATAGCTAATTAAAACAATATTTGTTATTTTAACGACATTGTATATTAAGTTATCTTTACTGAAAGTTCACATGTTAATCATTATGATGTATCTTAGAGTATTTTAGCGATACTGAAACATGGCATAACTTTTTCTGAGTAAATTTAGGAATAATCATAAATGACTGAACTCCTTGTGTCTGGAGATAGTTCATGAGTGGTAGCTGTGTGCATCGTCGATGTTGTTATTGATTGAGGTATCAGGAGTTTGTTGATTATCCTGACGTTTGTTAAAATGTCCACAATCAGCGTGCAGTTGCACCTTAACTTCACTTCCATTATCAGTTTGAATAGGTTGTATGAACTGTACATCTTCAAATGTGCTATTTGTTTTCTTCAGGAGGAACTGTCGATATCACGGTCCATCAGGTTGAGGACGGGCTGCAGCTGAAGGAAATCCACATGGCAAATGGTGGAGATTGGGGAGGAACAATGGTAGACACAGAATTTGAAAAGTTGCTGGTCAACCTTTTGGGACATGATGTTTTTGAGAAATTCAAACGTGAGAATGTTTCAGATCTATTGGAACTTCAAAGAAGTTTTGAAACCAAAAAGAGATGCATACATTCTTCTTCTGACTCGAAGATAACCTTCACACTCCCATGCAGTTTGCTTGATATCTTTGAAGAGATAAATCCAGGAAAATCCGTAGAAGACAGAGTGGCAACCAGTAAAGATTATGCAAATAATCTGACCTGGAAAAGTGACAAGCTGCGCATTAAATCAGATATTGCTAAAACTTTGTTTGAACCGTCTGTCCGCAAGATCATAGATCATGTCAAGGAGCTCCTTCAGAAGCCAGAGGTAGCGGACATCGACGCCATCATCTTAGTAGGTGGATTCGCCGAATGTCCTATTCTTCATAACGAATTATCAACAACGTTTCAAAATAAAAGGCTCGTAATTCCAAACCAAGCTGGACTTGCAGTACTCATTGGAGCTGTCATCAATGGCCATGAGCTAGAAGCTGTTACCGAGAGGATCAGCAGACTTACCTATGGCGTTGGTGCGAGTGTACCTTTCGTACTTGGATTACATGATCCGCGGTTAATGGTTTTAGGAGAAGATGGCATGCCACTCTGTGCCAATGCTTTCTGTACACACGTGAGGGTTGGGAATGCAGTACCTGTCGGCCTCAGAGGCGAATCACAACGCTATAAGGTAGTTTCACGAGATCAGAAAACGCTCCCAGTGCGGTTGTTCACAACCAAAGATACGAATCCAATGTACGTTTTGGAGGAGGGCGTTGAAAGTATCGGAGAGCTGATTGTTGAAATGCCCGACACGACAAGAGGATTGGATAGGGGAGTGGATGTGGTATTAACGTTTGGTGGAGCGGAGATCGAAGTCGCAGCGTTCGACATGCACACGCAGAAGGAAACCAATGCCTATTTTAACTTTCTAGGATAACTATACTATATTGAAAGACTGATAAGTCAATATTTTTTGACAGAATATGCACAAATTAGACAGAGATGTTCCAACAAATACCGAGATGATATAAATTAACTTTTTTTATTTACGCTGATGTGTACCATTACTGATATACAAATGTGGAAAGTATAACAATTCAACTTGGCAGCTATAACACAACTTGTTTACAGAATTTGTATTCATTTGCAATCATATTTACTGTCAAAGTCATGTAGATTCGATTCTAGGTCATTGCTGGAATGAATATTTATCAAACCTCTGAAATCCACGAGTCAATCCAAACCCACTTATTCTGGCCGAATCGTTCTTAGAAAATTTCACACAGTTTTCAATCGACAAACAACGAATCCTGGAGACAACTCGGTTAGGTAATACACGTAGGAACCATAAGTGAAATAGCATTCGATCTATTTCAGGAGTTGTAATGAGGTATTTTTGTGACATTCAATTTATATCAGACATTGCAATGTTATTAAATATGTTTGTGACATTCTATCTATTTTTTATATTGTAAGCAGATATGTTTGTGATATTTTTACTCTCTGTTCAATCTATCTAGAATTGAATTTAATCGAATGAAATAAAATTGAAATTGTCCATTCACGCCTTCTTTTTAAATCGCATATGATCAGCTGTTACGTATCGTCCTGGCTGTGTGGAGTATGGTGTGACATACGTTATCAGAAATGATACAATTGTCATTAATGACCTCATTCTCTTACATAGTTCTCTGTATCACAAATATTTAACTTTGCTTGAAAGATTCAACACTGATCAATCCTAGAACGATTTAAACATTTTTGGAGAGATGGTGTTTTCACACAAAGAAACCAGAGCATATAATAGTCAGTCTAGTTATTGTATAAAACAATGTTTCGGTTATATTGAACTATAAATATTCCAATACGTCTATGTACATTTTGAAATGAATAAAGGTTTATCTTGAAATTGGCTTCTATTAATGGACCTAACTGTATTGAAAATTGATTGGATTGATTCTCAACATTCATTAAATTTCATCCAATAAATTCATTTCAAAAACTTGTCAATATGCTTACTGATTTCGTACATTGTACCGTCTATGCGACGCTTATAAAATCAGTCCAATGTCTGAGAGGTACATATAAATAAGTGGTGTAACATTTAAATCCATGTGTGTAGTTTGGAGCTAATGTCCTCATGTATGTCTAATGAGATTTAGAATCATCTGATTATATGTATGAGGCATGGTAAAGCCAGATTGTATCTCTGAAGGTGGTTAACTGTATCTCTTTATGTAAAGTATAGGCTACGAATAAGGAATAATTGCCCAATACACGGGGTGTCTGGTTACCAGCACTACTGTTACAATTTTACTTCCCGGTCAGTACTATTAACCATTGGTGGGGATATAGGTGTATATCTATATACACCAGGAAGGTGCCAAAGTGTGGTGTTTCCTCTAACAATCAGTATGACCAAATAGTTTTGTAAAAATGGTCGGATAACACAACGACGAGACGGTGAGTATCAAACTATAGTGTAAACAAACCAATCATTCGCCATACTTGTTTATAACAAAGTTACTGGTGGTTTGAAACTGTTAATTAATTTGATTGTTTTATTATATATTTATTTTATCAATAGACATGTTAATTTAATTAAAATCATTATCAAACTTATAGCAAATCTAGCGACGTTTTGAACATAACACTATGGGCAAAGGAATGCGGATTGTGTTTAAATAATTATTCTGTGCCTACAAAATACACAAAATCAAGACATAGAATGAGCAATCTGTATCAATTTTTGACTTCATCTAAGCATTTGATGACTTGATATTAATCGATCGAAGTGAAGCTTACAAAGTATTTGTCTTCTCTGTCGCCACTTTTATGGGGATTTCTCGTAAAGATAACGCTCGCGTGACGGCTGCGATATACACATGGGAGTTTTAAGATAGTGATACAGTGCATCGAAACATAGGATTGTTAATCTTTCTTAATAATTGCTTCAGATGGAGTTACAAGTTTCTCAGAAGACGCAGCCTAGGATATTGGTGAGTCATGATAACGTCTTGGTTTTTTTCTACATGTTGTTTGGTAGTCAGCTTAATATTAATATGAATAGATGAATGGATTCTTTTCAGTTTTTAAGCTCATACCCCTTGAGGAGAAAGCATTTCTATCAATTGTGACACGGGTACAAAACATAACGATTGAAAACCTATTTCATCAATAAAATAAAATACTCTGATAGATTTTCATGCATAACATGTTCATTTGAAAATAAAAATATTGAATTGTTTTCACTGGTTCATTACAGAAAAGAGACCTGAAGAACAGCCCATACATTTTAGTGGCAGCATTGGACTTCGGCACAACCTACTCGGGGTACGCATTCTCATCACGGCTGGAGTATACCAAAAACCCATTGAATATCAGTACACTTGTATGGCAAGCAGGATCCGGAAATCTCGCTTCCCTAAAGACCTCTACGTGCGTTCTGTTTAAACCAGACGAAAGTTTCGACACGTTTGGTTTTGAAGCCGAAGACAAGTACGCCAAGCTGATAGACGACGATAAGCACCATGACTGGTTCTTTTTTAGACGCTTTAAGATGTCACTTTATGAGCAAAAGGTAAATATGTACTTTATTTACATTGTATACATGATAGTAACAAAGATACATGAGCCATCCAACTTAACCAAATTAACTATTAACTATATATGTTAATTAGATATGTTAATTAGATATGTTAAAATGTATGTTTTAGGATATCACCAGATCCATGAAGTTGTACGCACAAAATCAGAAACCAATGCTGGCAATGAAAGTGTTTGCGGAGGCAGTAAAGTACCTGAAGGACCATCTCCTTGGTACCTGTGAGAAGAGGGGGCTAGAATTGCTGATGTCTGACGTCAGATGGGTCCTGACAGTGCCTGCTATTTGGAATGACCGAGCAAAACAATTCATGAGGGAATGCGCTCAGCAGGTAATCGACAATGACTTTTTCTCGAGAACATTTATTATTTAATGTGAGAATCGTAATTACAACAATGTTATACTACAATAAGAAGTTCATTTCTTAAAATTACAATATTCATTTCTGACTTTTGTCACGTGAACCATGAGGAAATGTTACATGTCAAAATCGAGATGAAATCAGTGCCGTTTGTATGACATTATGAAAGTTCAATGGAGTTATATCAAACGCGTTGACCATAAGTCTAAGCAATCATAAATTTCAATAACAGTAATCATATCTTTCTTCAGGCTGGTATCCCAGGATATCAACTCGTCCTGTCATTAGAAGCCGAGGCTGCTGCTATGTTCTGTAAATACCTACCGCTGAAAGACATGACTGTTGGAAAAGGGGGAGACAACTTAGCGGTGTTTCGACCTGGGTCGCGATACATGGTGGTGGATGTTGGGGGTAAGACCATGTAGAGACGAAGCGTTAATTATGTTGTCCGCATACATAAAGATATCAATCGTACTATATGAAGTACTGCATATGTGTGTCTCGCGTACACTCATACATACACGTACGACTTTTCATGGTGCCATAAATGAACATGTAGCATGTTTATAACATATAACAGGAAACATCATTTCAATTTGTTATCATTGTTATTATTGTTTACTATTTATTTGTTTTAACTTTACAAAATGAAACATTACAGCAAAACATATCACAATAAATCACAATAAGTAACAAAGTTAAATACAGGTTAATTTATATGAGAACGGAGAGCTTTGAAAATGGTAGTATTACCACAGCAGGTTCTTAGTATAGGTGGTCTCCTAGGGTGAGTGTATTGGTCAACGTGGCAGAAAAAGTCGCATTCTCTTTAGACTGTCGTATTACCTTCATGATTAAGGTTCAAGCCCCCTAACAGATATAATAGCAACCCTAAATTTCAACCCCCTGGCAAGTCATATTCAAATGCCCTTATCAAAAATCGGGATATATATTTGTAATTTAAATATAATGAACTTGTACATGAGCTATTAAAAACGTACATAACCAGGATAACGAAATAAAAATACGTCATTAAGGCTGATGTAATGTAAAAGTTACTCACCAGATTTATAACATGTCAATCTCCTAAGCGACCCAACTGAATGTTACGAAATGCCATTTATTTGAAGATCATTTATATACCTTGGTCACGCGGAGCTTTATTAAATTGGCATTTCTGGGGCAAACTCAGTGACGGTATAGAATGTCGACGCTATTCCTCGACTAAGCTGGCAATTACATGGTTCTCTATTTGTGTGCAGGCTTTGCTGTTACACTAAATAGAGTGCGAGGATGTAATAAGTAGTGGTGGAGCCGTTTCCACCTTATCTACTTCTTTGGGTGCATTGCAGGCCAGACCCGAAGAGGAATAGCGTCTTATATGTTTAACTTTATATAATCTTATGTTTTACCCAGACTGGTTGTAACTCTTTGGCTACATTGCTCCAGTCATTGCTCCAGTCTGACTGGCTGTAACTCTTTGGTTACATTGCTCCAGTCTGATGTTGGGGTAACTTATATAAAGGTTATAGCATTAAATGGGACAACTTAGACTGGCTGTAACTCTTGGGATACATTGCTCCCGCCTGTGTTGTTGTATCCCAATATTATGTAATAGAATAATTTCCATTAATATCTGAATATTGTGAAATAAATATATCATCCAATTTTTGGGGAAAACAAGGCTATCAACTATACTTCATATGTATCAACTGAGATTGCCCAAGTATTTGTTGTTTCACACCTGATATCATTATATGATATCGTACATTAAACTCATATAAATTTACTATCTTAATTAAAAACCGCTGTCGTTCATATTTACAGGTAGGTGACTGGGGTGGTGGTGGTAAACCCGAAATATAAAACTTATGAGATTGGTCTTTTAGCTCCGGACGCTGGGGAAAAAGTGACCAGCTAGCTATCAGGAATCCTCTAAGCCAATCAGACAGCGATTAGCTAACACATGACCGGTCACTCTCTTCATTGACCGCTCAGGCCCTGGTTATGTATACGGTCGATGTTCCTATATGAAAAACCTACTGATCATGATTGTCACTGACATACATATATATACACGATGTTTAGGTTAATGTTGCAGACTAGTCCATCGAGGCTTGACTAGTATTAATAGAAACATTATTTGTCCATTTAAACCTGGCTTATGTACATAAGCCTCAATTAACTGTGTGTGGAGAGGTATACCGGCCTCACAAGAAGATGATTGTTGCTATGGGAAAGTACAAAATCATAGTAAAACGTCCACGTAACATATTTTACCGTGTAAAACGTTTGACCATAAACACTACTTAAACTTCATATAAAATGTCCTTTTTTAACATTGAATGTTTTTATAAACGAGCTAGACTTGTTATAAACATTATTGTATTTTTCAGCTTCAATGTTTATAACATATCTAGCGCATTCATATAATCACAGAATGTTATCAAATGGCACATCATCTAAAGTTCATTTATCGATCAAGGTTACTTAGCATTTTTTTTCTTATTTATAAATTGTTAAAATGTATTACTAGGCGATTTTACTATGATTTTAGTGATTTTGCACTGCAACATCTACCTTTATTTGAGGTCGAAATTCCTCTCAACAGCTAGTAGAAGAGAAATAAAGCTCCGCATGACCTAGGTATATACATAAACCCTAAATTATAGGTCGTTTCTCAGCTCTCAGTTTGATCGCAAAATATGTTGACATGTTATAAGTCCAATGAGCTATTTTTATGAAGACATCAGCCTTAATGCCTAATTTTTGACTACGTTAACCTGGCTATGTATTTTTTGTACAAATAACATATATAAGTTCCGATTTTGAGTTGATGTCTTTGAACATGACTTTTCAGACGGTTGAAATTATAGGTGACTACAGCATCTTTTAGGGGCCTTTTGAACCTTAAAATCTCCGCATGTGATGCTATGCGATGCACTTCATTTCGTTTACATGTAAAAATGTTTTAACCTCGTAAGAACTTTATGTCACTGAGGTAAGTTTTCCACTGCAATGTCAAGCACTATTCAAGTTTTATCTATGATTCGATATTTGTCAAAATAATGTACTCTCCATTGCAGCACCAAATAATTATTGCAAAACAAAAACTATGGCACGATGATACACTAAATTCGTTTATAGTGTTTAATGAAATTCAATAGCAGTTCAGTTTTTTAAATCCCTTTTCCTTTTTTTAAATAGAATTCCCTGGCCGAGCTTGACACCGATCTTCAGAAAGTTAGACTGACTATTTTTAAATAAAAAACACTAATGTGAGCCATTCTACTAAGAGAAAAAAAATGAACATGGATTTTAGTACTTTTTGAAATATTATCATGTTTATTTGTTGTTTTGATATGAAATGAAATACATGTAGTTTATTGTCGATTTTAATTTCTATACCGACGTCATGTTACTAATATGGGGCCAAATGCAACTTCTTTGTTTGGGTAAAAATAACAGGACACATGGAAATTTGTTTTTTGTCAGCTACTTACAAAAAAACATTTTTTTTAAAACAAGCTAGATAGATAACCACTGAGCTTAGTTTTTTTGATAGTAACATATACATTTATAGTTATAGTTATACATAGTATATGTCCATTTGTGGGTACTTAAGATAAATAAAAACACCTATTAATCCTCGGTGTAAGACGTACAGATTCGTTTATTTTTTAACATTTTTTTCCTTGCTCATGTCTTGTTACATTTCTTGAATATTTTGCAGGGATCTTGGTTTCAGGATTAAATCATATTTTTTGAGTTTCGCGTTAATATTTCAGTTGCTTGGCTCACAAATATTTGGGACAAATATAAACAACTATGGTTGGTGCTGTATCAAGCTATGCTTTAGTTAGACTTTCTTGTTTAATCGCGTTGCCAATTAGTTATTCTGCTTTTAGTCTCATTCGTTTTTATATTTGTTTTTATTATAATTGTTCACATTGTAGGGGGTACTGTTGACATCACTGTACACGAGGTGCTGCCGAGTCTGAAGCTGAAGGAAGTTCACATGGCAAATGGAGGGGACTGGGGCGGGACCACTGTAGACAAGGAGTTTGAAATGCTTCTTTCCGAGATTTTGGGAGTTGATGTATTTAATAAGTTTAAGCAAAAACATGTTGCAGACTACCTAGAGCTACAAAGGTCTTTTGAGACTAAGAAAAGATCAATTTCGTCCTCGACCGATGCAAAAATTACGTTTACTCTCCCAATAAGTCTGATGGAAACTTTTGATGAGATTCTTCCAAATAAAACCGTGGCGGAAAAAATATCCTCTAACAAGAAGTATGCAAATAACCTCACGTGGAAGATGGATAGGCTGCGAATCAAGTCTGAGCTAGCTCAAACGATGTTCCGACAATCCGTCCAGAGGATAATAGACCACGTGGTGGAGCTGATGAAACACCCAGAGGTAGAACAGGCTCAGGCAATCCTTCTCGTCGGCGGATACTCGGAATGTCCTCTACTACAGACAGACATTTCCGCCAAGTTCCCGGACAAACGTCTCATTATTCCACACGAGGCTGGCCTTGCTGTGCTGAAAGGTGCCGTCATCAATGGACATGAGCTAGACACAATCACGGAAAGGATCAGTAGGTTTACATATGGCACGAAATGTAGTACACCCTTTATTCCTGAAATACATCCAGTTGAAAAAAAAAGTATAATGAAAAGGAACGGTAAAGATTATTGTGATGATGTATTCAGTGTACATGCAACGAAAGGAGAGGCTATAGCTGTATGGGAGAGTTTAGAATCTATTCAGTACAATGTCGCATTTCCGTCTCAAACAAGTGCGCATGTCGAAATCTACATTTCGACCAACTCTTCACCCGAGTTTGTGACAGACGAGGGTTGTGAATGTATTGGTTCACTTGTAATTGAAATGCCCGACACCAGCAAAGGACTGAACAGAGGAGCAGACGTCCAGTTTACATTCGGTGGCGCGGAGATAGAAGTCCAGGTCAAGGACAGAGATTCAGCTGAAGAACAAATCGCCTACCTTAATTTTCTTGGTTGACAGCAACAGTAAAACCGAATGAAATCGTTTAATATTTTGCACATGCGTCAATTGTATTTTATCAAATAGATAAACGTTTAGCGAACAAAAATCAACAAAGGTGCTCTCATAAACGGAAATATTTGCGTATCTGATTTTCCGGTATTTTTGTGAAACTTCCCTCTTGTCTGGCCTCCTATTGTATTAGCATAGAATATTACTCAACACAACTCTGTCGTGGTGTAGCAACGTTTGGTGACTGTTGCAGACTATATCATTTTATTTAATTTCAATGTTACCAGGATTTGACGTATTTAACATTCAATTTTTTTTCAAAATATATCAGCTTGTGCTGTTTAGGACAATACCAATAACTTGTTGTAGCATTCGTCTGCAGAGTTATAAGACCCGTGATAAAGCTTGTGTTGGATACAATATAAAAGTAGCGATGACCAATACTTTATGCATCATAAATCATCAACAAAGATTCCAATTTCAGAATTTTCTACACGGTTTAATACAGGCTGGTTTGGCCGTGCTGAAAGGTGCCGTCATCAATGGACATGAGCTAGACACAATCACGGAAAGGATCAGTAGGTTTACATATGGCACAAAATGTGTGACAGACTTTATTCATGAAATACATCCAATGGAAAAACGTAAAATACAAGGAAACGGTAAAGCGTATTGTGGTGATATATTCAGTGTACATGCAACGAAAGGAGAGGCTATAGCTGTATGGGAGAGTTTAGAATCTATTAAGTACAACGTCACATCACCGTCTCAAACAAGTACGAATGTCGAAATCTATATTTCGACCAACTCATCGCCCGAGTATGTGACAGACGAAGGTTGTGAATGTATTGGTTCACTTGAAATTGAAATGCCCGACACCAGCAAAGGAATGGATAGAGGGATAGACGCTCAGTTTACATTCGGTGGTGCGGAGATAGAAGTCCAGGTCAAGGACAGAGAGTCAGCTGAAGAACAAATCGCTTACCTCAATTTTCTTGGTTGACAGAAACAGTAAAACCGAATGAATCGTTTAATATTTTGCACATGCATCAATTGTATTTTTTCAAATGATAGACGTTTAGCGGACAAAAATCCACAAAGGTGTTTTTAATAAACGGAAATATTTGCGTATCTTGTCTGGCCTCCTATTGTATTAGCATAGAATATCACTCAACACAACTCTGTCGTGGTGTAGCAAAGTTCAGTGATTGTTGCTGACTTCATCATTTTATTGAATTTCAATTTTAACAATATTTACAGTATTCAACAGTCAACCTATTTTCAAAATAATTCAGCCTGTGCTGTTTGGGAAAATACCAATAACTTGTTGTAGCATTCGTCTGCAGAGTTATAAGACCGGTGATAAAGCTTGTGTTGGATACAATATAAAAGTAGCGATGACCAATACTTTATGCATCATAAATCATCAACAAAGATTCCAATTTCTACACGGTTTATATACAGATGTAGGTCATGAATGCAAAATATTTCTACACATTTTTCAAAATCTGCACACATTGAACCCGTTACTGTACCCGATTCCATTGTTGAGAACTCTCATCAATGAATGTTTACTTAAGTTTTTGTCATATTATAAAAATATCGAGAGAAATACAAAGTCAGAGCGTAAGTTGTCTGTTGTAACAGTGTAAATTAAAATGTATTGATAATAAAATATAAAATATGAATTTAATCAATTATTTTTTCTTTCATATATCAAGGGGACAGATAAACATATATTCAACACATGTCACTGCTTTCACTTCTGTGGAATATGTTATCATTGTACAGTGTAACATACCTTTGTTGTCAAAGGTGTGACCTAAATATAATGTCTTTGTCTAAGTGAAATCAACGGTAGGTATATCATTGTGGAATTCAATTACATTCCGGTTTTAAATGCCATAGAAAAATAGTTTGTGCCCACAAATATTCAAAGTATGGCTTCCATAATTCCATAGGGTAAGAACACCGCACACATAGTTTCGTATTAAGTCTTTAGGCAATAATCAAAGTAAAGAAAAACTGAGAAATATGTTACCTTGTAACATAGCTTTGTTTTTAAAAGTGTCACCTAAATACAAATTTCTTTGTCTATTCTCGACTGACGAAGTGAAATCAACGGTAGGTATATCATTGTGGAATTCAATTACATTCCGATTTTAAATGCCATAGAAAAATAGTTTGTGCCCACAAATATTCAAAGTATGGCTTCCATAATTCCATAGGGTAAGAACACCGCACACATAGTTTCGTATTAAGTCTTTAGGCAATAATCAAAATAAAGAAAATTTGATAGGCTCATACATAGAGGATCTGTTATAAGTTTCCCTTCATATTAGATTGATGATACAAGTTTTGGATTTTTCATGTTTGCGAGCCTCTGGCGATCAAATATGAAATATCCGAAACAAGTATTAAAAATCTAGTATGAAGGAAAACTAATGACAGATTATTTGTATCATGTGATACAAAGTAAACTGTATAATTGTGATCTGAAACGAATATTTTGCACTTGGCCGCGTCTGAAACGATGAATACTGTGTCCGCTTCACAATGACGTGACATCACATTGATTGTTTCTATTCGATTGTGACGTCATTTCCGGAGTGATATTACACAGGTTACATAAACATTATTTATGTGATGGTTTTGACATTGCATAACACGGTATTCATATGATAAAAGAAGTTACGACCCTGTCAGGTGAACACGAAAAAAAATATTTAAAGCTACAAGTAAGCTACATGTAAGGATATAGTACATCTCAGATTTCGATTTGTTGTAGGGCCTTGCATGATCGACATCTCTACGAATAAAGACTTGTGCATCACGCATTTGATCGTACATGTTGTAACGGGAGATATGATGACGGGTGTTACCTGTTGTGACGGAAACATCATGACGGGTGTTAAATGTTGTGACGGAGACATCATAACGAGTGTTACATGTGATAAGGGAGACATCATAACGAGTGGTAATTGTTGTGAGGGAGACATCATGACGGGTGTAACATGTGGTGACGGAGACAGAATGACGGATGTTATATGTTGTGACGGAGACATCATGGTTGGTGTTAAATGTTGCGACGAAGACATCATGACGGATGTTTTATGTTGTGACGGAGAAATCATGACGGGTATTACATGTTGTGACGGAGAGATCATGACGAATGTTATATGTTGTCACGAGAGAAGTCATGACGAGTGTTACATGTAGTGACGGTTGACACCATGACGAGTGTCACATGTTGTGACAGAGACATCATGACGGAAGTCTCATGTTGTGACGGCAATATCATGACGGATGTTATATGTTGTAAAGGGGGACATTGATGACGAGTTTTACCTGTAGTGACGGTTGACACCATGAGGAGTGTCACATGTTGTGGCGGAGAAATCATGACGAGAGTCACATGTTGTGACGGAGACATCATGACGGATGTCACATGTTGTGACGGAGAAATCATGACGAGAGTCACATGTTGTGACGGTTGACACCGTTACAAGTGTCACATGTTTTGTCGGAGACATCATGACGGATGTTATAAGTTGTAACGGAAGACATTGATGACGAGTTTTACATGTAGTGACGTAGACATCATGACTGATGTTATTTGTTGTGACGGGAACATCATGACGGGTATAACGTGTAGTGACGTAGACATCATGACGGATGTTATACGTTGTTACGGGAACATTATGACGGTTGTTACATGTTTTGACGGAGAATTCATAACGGGTGTTACATGTTGTGACGTAGACATCATGATGGATGTTACATGTTTTTACAGGGGCATCATGACCGGTATTACATGTTGTGACGGAGAAATCATGACGGGTGTTTCATGTTGTGACGGAGACATTATGACGGATGTTATATGTTGTGACGTAGACATCATGACGGGAGTTCAAGTAGTGACGGGAGATATCATGGCGAGTGTCACATGTGGTGACGAAGACATCGTGACGGGTGTTACCTGTTGTGACAGAGACATCATGACGGGTGTTTCATGTTGTGATGGAAACATCAGGACGGGAGTTACATGTTGTGACGGAAACATCAGGACGGGAGTTACATGTTGTGACGGAGACATCATGACGGATGTAACATGTTGTTAACGAGATACAGCATGACGGGTATTTCATGTAGTGAAGCAGACTTCATGAAGGGTGCTTCATGTTGTGACGAAGATATCATGACGGATGTAATTTGTTGTGACGGAGACATCGTGACGGGTGTTACATGTTGTAACGGGAGACATCATGACGGGTGCTACATGTTGTAACGGGAGACATCATGACGGGTGTTACATGTTGTAACGGGAGACATATAATGACGGGTGTTACATGTTGGAACGGGAGACATCATGACGGGTGTTACATGTTGTGACGGAGACATCATGACGGATGTACTTTATTGTGACGGAGACATCGTGACGGGTGTTACATGTTGTAACGGGAGACATCATGACGGGTGTTACATGTTGTAACGGGAGACATATAATGACGGGTGTTACATGTTGTAACGGGAGACATCATGACGTGTATTACATGTTGTAACGGGAGACATCATGACGTGTGTTGCATGTTGTAACGGGAGACATCATGACGTGTGTTACATGTTGTAACGGAAGACATCATGACGGGTGTTACATGTTGTGACGGAGACATCATGACGGATGTACTTTATTGTGACGGAGACATCGTGACGGATGTTACATGTTGTGACGGGAGACATCATGACGGGTGTTACATGGTGTTGACGGGAGACATCATGACGGGTGTTACATGTTGTTGACGGTAGACGTCCTGACAGATGTTATATGTTTTGACGGAGACATCGTGACAGATGTTATATGTTTTGACGGAGACGTCATGACGGGTATTACATGTTGGTACGGGAGACATCATGACGAGTGTTACATGTTGTAATGGAGACGTCATGAAGGGTGTTATATGGGGTTTCTACGAGAGATATCATGACGGGTTGTCCATGTTTTGACGGGAGACATGATGAATGGTATTAAATGTTATTTTGATTGGAGACATAATGACGAATGTTATATGTGGTGAGGGAGACATCAACACGGTTGTTACATGGTGTCTCCAGTCACAACATTTAACACCCGTCACGTTATCTCCAGTCACAACATTTAACACCCGTCACGTTATCTCCAGTCACAACATTTAACACCCGTCACGTTATCTCCAGTCACAACATTTAACACCCGTCACGTTGTCTCCAGTCACAACATTTAACACCCGTCACGTTGTCTCCAGTCACAACATTTAACACCCGTCACGTTGTCTCCAGTCACAACATTTAACACCCGTCACGTTGTCTCCAGTCACAACATTTAACACCCGTCACGTTGTCTCCAGTCACAACATTTAACACCCGTCACGTTATCTCCAGTCACAACATTTAACACCCGTCACGTTGTCTCCAGTCACAACATTTAACACCCGTCACGTTGTCTCCAGTCACAACATTTAACACCCGTCACGTTGTCTCCAGTCACAACATTTAACACCCGTCACGTTGTCTCCAGTCACAACATTTAACACCCGTCACGTTGTCTCCAGTCACAACATTTAACACCCGTCACGTTGTCTCCAGTCACAACATTTAACACCCGTCACGTTGTCTCCAGTCACAACATTTAACACCCGTCACGTTGTCTCCAGTCACAACATTTAACACCCGTCACGTTGTCTCCAGTCACAACATTTAACACCCGTCACGTTGTCTCCAGTCACAACATTTAACACCCGTCACGTTGTCTCCAGTCACAACATTTAACACCCGTCACGTTGTCTCCAGTCACAACATTTAACACCCGTCACGTTGTCTCCAGTCACAACATTTAACACCCGTCACGTTGTCTCCAGTCACAACATTTAACACCCGTCACGTTGTCTCCAGTCACAACATTTAACACCCGTCACGTTGTCTCCAGTCACAACATTTAACACCCGTCACGTTGTCTCCAGTCACAACATTTAACACCCGTCACGTTGTCTCCAGTCACAACATTTAACACCCGTCACGTTGTCTCCAGTCACAACATTTAACACCCGTCACGTTGTCTCCAGTCACAACATTTAACACCCGTCACGTTGTCTCCAGTCACAACATTTAACACCCGTCACGTTGTCTCCAGTCACAACATTTAACACCCGTCACGTTGTCTCCAGTCACAACATTTAACACCCGTCACGTTGTCTCCAGTCACAACATTTAACACCCGTCACGTTGTCTCCAGTCACAACATTTAACACCCGTCACGTTGTCTCCAGTCACAACATTTAACACCCGTCACGTTGTCTCCAGTCACAACATTTAACACCCGTCACGTTGTCTCCAGTCACAACATTTAACACCCGTCACGTTATCTCCAGTCACAACATTTAACACCCGTCACGTTGTCTCCAGTCACAACATTTAACACCCGTCACGTTGTCTCCAGTCACAACATTTAACACCCGTCACGTTGTCTCCAGTCACAACATTTAACACCCGTCACGTTGTCTCCAGTCACAACATTTAACACCCGTCACGTTGTCTCCAGTCACAACATTTAACACCCGTCACGTTGTCTCCAGTCACAACATTTAACACCCGTCACGTTGTCTCCAGTCACAACATTTAACACCCGTCACGTTATCTCCAGTCACATCATTTACCACCCCTCACGTTGTCTCCAGTCACAACATTTACCACCCGTCCCATTGTCTCCGTCACAGCATGTAACACCCGTCCCATTGTCTCCGTCACAGCATGTAACACCCGTCCCATTGTCTCCGTCACAGCATGTAAAACCCGTCCCATTGTCTCCGTCACAGCATGTAAAACCCGTCCCATTGTCTCCGTCACAGCATGTAAAACCCGTCCCATTGTCTCCTTCACAGCATATTTCATGTTGTGAAGGAGAAACAATGACGGTTGTTACGTGTTACATTACTTTATCTTAGAGGGAGGTGTTTTCACTCAAACTTATGTTGTGCTGTGAAAGTACGGGGAACGAGATACTTTAAAGTTTTAGATAATCCGTTATTGACATATATAAACATACACCATTCAATAGATGCGTATTTTTTTAATACGTTTGAATCATAGCGTGTCTCAATGTTTTGTTCTGAGCCATGTTTGAATAATAGTGTCTGAATGATAGTTTGTCTGGATGTTGGCCTAGTTCGAAAACCATTTTATTGACTCTCAATAGGCATGATATACATGCCATGTTTTAGTGGAAAGTTTTTAAAATTTCTAAAGTCCTTTTATCCGAAATGTAAATAATGTTTATAAAGGTTCGTCGTGCATGCAACGTCTATACCATCTATACAACTCCTCGAGGACGAATAGAATCTGATTATGTATATACGTCTGTTGAACAGATATAACTAATAAGTACGCATTTATGTAATCGAGAGGTTATTTGTATGTACATGTACCTATTCGGTAAAAATATAGGTTTGAGTACGAAGGTCTGAAAACCGAATGATTGAAGACCAGGTATAACATTTCTTTAAACAAGCTTGGTTTTTACTTCCTGGTTAAGTCATTAGCGTCGGCCTTGGAGGGATTCGTGTTTATCAACGTAGACAACTTTTATATTGTATCGTTACCTCTGGCAAACAGCATGACCTGGCAGAACGTTTGGTGGAGTTGTCGGCTGATAACCACTGCGGTGAGTATCGATATATATAATGATCATCATCATCACACCAGCGAAAGATATAGAATATCGGTCATCATGAGATTTTTATTTTATTGTATCATCTTTCCACACAAAATTTCAAATATTATTTTTGTATTTGTAGTGTATTTAGTACAGAACATTACACTGTTGACAAGGGCAGGTAGACTTTTGTAACACAAGTTTTTGCCCACACAATAAACGTAACAAGCCATTTACGTGTGTGGAATATATACCCATCATGGATAAATTTAACTTTTTAAATACCCTATATTGTAACGGTCTTCGCCCCTGGCTCAACCCTTTACATGGAGAGCACGACTATTCTAAACTGTCACTAAATGCTTATGACAAGCCCCCAGGAAATTATATGGTATTTCCAAACCAAGTACCTAATGACTGACTAGTTCTAAGTAACTAAAGAAGAACCAGAAAGCATAAGATAAGTTTACGCACACCTTTACGGTTACCGTTTATTAAGGAACCCAATATCAAATTACACAGATACATGCAGATACAACAATTCTACAGACTCTCTCCAAATTCTCTCATAAATATGATGTACAATAAAGGTAGAACTATGTCTGAACCCTGGATACCAGAACTTTCTGATATATGTAGGGGACAAAACAAGTCTATTTATCCCTACTGTAGTTTAGCTAATAACAGAAATGAACCAAGTGCCAATGAATGAATACTATAAAATCCCAACTCTATATGAATTAATATAGGATTAGCAAATGGATAAAATATAGATCTAGAATTATTCTGATCACTAGGCTCTATGAATCAATGATTCTAAAGTCAAACTCTATTGTCTGAAACACCAAAAGTACCACCAAAAGTACGCTAGAAAGACAAAGTTAAATTATCTTCCATAAATGTTAATATTACTAAAATCTCCCGTCCATCCCCATATTCTATTCTACGAGTTGCTTCCCTTATCCTACAAACCAAGCATACTGACAGCTCCACGGTTTTGGAACGATCCAAAAGTGTAGTAGCCGCCAGCAGCTCAAAACCAACCTTCCCCTCAGAATATACGATCGCAACTGATTTCCCAACGCCCCAAGGAATCTCTACGCCCCTGGTAAGAACGCTAACATCAACGGGGCAACGCACGAGCTCAACGGGGCAACACCCGTTCCCCAGCGGACTCCGAAGAGGTAACGGCGCCACACCCGTTGCTCGCAACGTAGTACCCGTTGAACCCAAATAAAATACGACGATCTACATTGGCACTTGTATGAAAAATACTTCACAAATCAACATTAATATATAGTATTTCATAGTATCCACATCTACAACTCTTTCGTACCGTTATTCACTCTCTGACTCGCAATCCAATACTTCCAACGCATCCCATATTTCCATCGAATCCCATATATCCAATACTTTCAATACACAACGGAATAAACACTCAAGTGACCCCGACTGACACAGTTCAAGAGGTCACGAGAGTTCACAAAATGGCGACGTCCATACACACTAGCAGGGTATACGTTCTCTGCAAAAACATTACATTTCTCACTCTCTCCAGACGGTTCTTACCCTGGACTAACGATTAACCAAGATAATCAAGGTATTTACATCTGAATAATAACCATACTGAACACTGGAAAACACTTAAATAAGAGTAAATACCGTTTGAATGGACATTGTGTTTAAAAACATGTTTATTTACAACATTTAAACTACTGTCACACTACTGTCACACTATTATTGAACAATTCAGGGAAATATCATACTTCATGACAAACAATCCAGTAAAATACCACATTTTTACAATATAACCTAACAGTTTAGCTAACAAATAGGGCGTCGTGTTATGATCGGTTGCCATTAGCAGGGGTCTTTAATGGCGAAATGAGTGCGCATGCTTCACAATTATTGTACTTGCTTATCGGAAACGTATACAAAATATCTTGCCAATTAACTTTTCTACATTTGTTGCGTGTGGCTTCATAAATGTTACTGATTACGTCAAACAAATCAATAATATTACTTTTTGTTATAAATGTTAGGTTTATACAAATATTCTCACAGCGTCATATCCTTCAATCCTTTTTTTTCAAAATGTCTACTTTTATAGTTTATAGTTTTTGAATAGTGACCTCGGAGCGATAAACACTTTACCGACAATCTTTTCAAACACGAATTGGTTTGTTTCTATGTAGAATTTCGTTCATTTTGACCAATTAGTTTCATTTCTTATATATAACAAAACATGAAGACACAATTTCGCTAGCACTTTTGTCTGATGAGCCCCAAGATGGGTGAAAGTGCTAGCGAAATTTAGTATTCGTTGTTTGTTTAATATTTATTGTTACCGTCACATTACGTTTAAAACGTTTTACCTCTATATATGTGCTCAATCCATTGCTATATAGTTTGTCATTTTAAAATATTCGTTGTAATATTTTCCCATTTTTCTGAAAATATCCACATCTCATCCACTCATTATGCCGATACTGAAACATTAATGCAGTCACATAAGTCATCGTTACAGAGGTACATAGAGACCTACTTATCCATTGCTTCAGATGGAGTCACAAGTTCGACAGCAGACACAGCCTAGGATACTGGTGAGTCATGATATAATATTGAGACATACGAGCACAGTTAACGCTTCAGTACTTTTGTTGTTGTTGTTCTCGGTTATTTTTATTTTAAAAGATATTTCATCAATAAAACATTCCGATTGATATTCAACCCCAACATACTATCATGAAAATAAAATGCTGACAGCCATCAGGTAATTGTTAAGTTGTTATGTATTACAGAAAAGAGACCTGAAGAACAGTCCATACATTTTAGTGGCAGCATTGGACTTCGGCACAACCTACTCGGGGTACGCATTCTCATCACGGCTGGAGTATACCAAAAACCCATTGAATATCAATACACTTGTATGGCAAGCAGGATCCGGAAATCTCGCTTCCCTAAAGACTTCTACGTGCGTTCTGTTTAAACCAGACGAAAGTTTTGACACGTTTGGTTTTGAAGCCGAAGACAAGTACGCCAAGCTGATAAACGACGATAAGCACCATGACTGGTTCTTTTTTAGACGCTTTAAGATGTCACTTTATGAGCAAAAGGTAAATAATTCACATTACTGATATACATGGCCTCCTAGCCACATGTTTTAACAGCACGGGAATAAACAAAAGACCCGCGCTCTTCGCCAGCAATCATAACTAAGTTAATTAGATGTTAAAGAGGTCGAAATGTATAATGATTTATATAATTCCACACAGTGATTCACTGTTGTTTTACCACCTTCATATATACATTATTCTGGATTCCAATTTGCTAAGGATTAAATTATGATGCCATTCTAAATGTAAAATTAAGAAAACAATTTTTACAAATTTTAGCAGAAAATTTTGAAATTTATACACGATTCCACTGTTAAAAATTGTATGGATCTGACCAGGTTTTTTTGTCCCGGTTTCGGAAGGGGCTATTGGTCGGCTTTCACGATTTATCGATGACCTATAAACCTTTCAACTACCAAAGATACATGTGAACTTCAACCGGAGTAATGTAAGAACACTGTTTTCACTTTAGATGTAGGAGAGACAGAAACACTTTATTTGAAAGAAAGAAATTCAGCGAACATCTGTGTAGTGTTTCTTAAGAGAGAAATAAAAAACAATAAGAAGGCATTTTGGGGAGGGCAATCTTTATGATGAGGATTTAAAAACTCTGTCATGATTGAGTTTTAAAACAAATCTCTATAGTACCGCTAACTCAGAGCTGGCTACAAATTGTGGACAGGGAAAGTGATGTAAAGCATGTTCTAGCTGTTTCTCTGTGTATAATATATATATAACAATTGTAACAGAGACGTCATAATTACAATGACTTCACAAGGATAGATGACGTCATAGGTCCACAGACAACTGTACATTTTTACTGAGTAAAGGACACAACATGGAGATAGAATTTTTCCTAGGTACTTGAAAAAGGCCTGGATTGAAAATTTAAGACGGAAAAGGTTGTTTGATAAGACATATATGAACTCTATGAGTGGGATTTTGTTCTGTGATGCAAAATTAGCAATTACCAAATGTTTGTTTTAGGATATCACCAGATCCATGAAATTGTATGCACAAAATCAGAAACCAATGCTGGCAATGAAAGTGTTTGCAGAAGCAGTAAAGTATCTGAAGGACCATCTCCTTGATACTTGTAAGAAAAGGAGGTTAGAATTGCTGATGTCTGACGTCAGATGGGTCCTGACAGTGCCTGCTATTTGGAATGACCGAGCAAAGCAATTCATGAGGGAATGCGCTCAGCAGGTAGTCAACAATGCCCTTTTTTCGAGTACATTTATAATCTAATGTGTATATCGTCATTACAAGAATCTGTCACTACAATAAGAAGATATTTTTTTACATATCAAAGTGTTATTTTCTGACTTTTGCCACATGAACCCAGATGAAATGCGCTCAGCATGTTATCGACAATGGATTTTCTTCGAGTACTTTTATTATCTCATATGTATATCGTCATAATAAAACAACAAAAGTCATATATATAATACATTATGTATTTCACTTCTTACATATCACAATAATGTTTTCTGACACGTGTCACATGAACCCTGAGGAAACGCAACATGTCAACGTTAAGGTGATACCATTATCGTTGTTATGGTAAACATATGTATATGAGAGCTCCTCTAAATTAGATGAAATGTATTTAAGACCGAATTCTGAGCAAGTTTAAATTTCAATGACATTAATAATATCTTCGTTCAGGCTGGAATCCCAGGATATCAACTCGTCCTGTCGTTAGAAGCCGAGGCGGCTGCTATGTTCTGTAAATACCTACCGCTGAAAGACATGTCTGTTGGAAAAGTGGGAGACAACCTGGTGGTGTTTCGACCTGGGTCGCGATATATGGTGGTGGATGTTGGTGGTAAGAGTTAATGGAGATAAAGGTTGAATTATTAAATTATATTGTTAGACCGTGTCTATCAATACGATAACCCACATTACTAGTATAGGTACGTGTGAACAAGTAGCAATTTTAGAGCTTTGTCGCGGTGGGTATTGGAACAGAACTCCTTTTGCTGGCCCTGGCGAACATTCAACACCAAGGCCGAAAGGTGAGGTGTCGCCAAGTGAGATGTTACGAAACCACCAAGAATTAGAAAAGAGAGAAAAAATATCATGGTAATATAGAAGTCCTATTGATCAGGTACCATTGGCTAATGTTATGATGTTATGACTTTACAAAGTTTAACGCATAACAGACAATTGTTGTGGAGTATATATTCACCATTATTTCCATTTGCTTTATTGTGGTCACATAAGTCTGTATTGTGCACTTATGACATTCTATAATTTATCCTTTGCTTACAAACCGTTTCTCGAATATCTAAAAATAAAACAACAACTTTACTTTGCACTGGGTGTGCAATTTGAATACATATCAATATCTAGTGATAACAACAGGTATCGTTATCTCACAATCACCTAAAGGCCCCCTAACCGCTGCCAAACCCTGTCACTCGTTGACCTGTTAATTGGATTTTTTAATTGGACACGACTATAGCTTAGAAAAAACTTTCTGAAAAGAAACCGATACATTGCGGGACTTTTATGCAAAAACAATAGAGATAAAATAATAAAAAATAATACAACGGGGTAGTGCAGGATTTGAACCGTGCAGTTTAGATCATTGTACCGCGAGCTTACCAGCTTACCAACTGAGCTAACCAATCTAGTGTACCTCAACAGAAGTATTCTGGCCAGGTCGCGCTACATTTAAACCATAAATTAATTTAAGGGAAGGAAGGAACAAAAAAACCGTCGTGGATTTTTCTGGTGTTTTGACCGCTCTTGGACAGGAATAAAACGTATTTAGTACTTATGAATAATTATTATGATGTTTTACTGATAGTTTTGATATCAAATGGATAAATTCAAAAGGACTGGCTTCTAATCCGAGGCACTATCATTGAGTTAGGTGCGCTTTATCACACAATCAAACTATGTTTTTGTTTTAGTTTTTTTTAATCATACTGTCATTTAGTTGTTTTGATTTATTCTTACGAGTTGTTACTGTTGTATATTGAGCTCTACTGATTTACTCTACAGGAGGAACCGTTGATATCACGGTACACGAGGTGCTGGAAGGTCTGAAGCTGAAAGAGGTTTACATGGCAAATGGAGGGGACTGGGGCGGGACCATGGTCGACAAGGAGTTTGAAATGCTTCTTTCTGAAATCTTGGGAGCTGATGTTTTTAACGAGTTTAAGCAAAAACATGTTGCTGACTACCTAGAGCTACAAAGGTCGTTTGAAACTAAGAAAAGATCAATCTCATCAGCGACTGACGCAAAAATTACGTTTACTCTCCCAATCAGTCTGATGGACACTTTCGCCGATATGCATCCAAATAAAACCGTCGAGGAAAGCATATCCTCTAACAAGAAGTATGCAAATAACCTCACGTGGAAGATGGATAGACTGCGAATCAAGTCTGAGCTAGCTCAAACGATGTTCCGACAATCTGTCCAGAAGATAATAGATCACGTGGTAGAGCTGATGGAACACACAGAGGTAGAACAGACTCAGGCCATCCTTCTCGTCGGCGGATACTCGGAATGTCCTCTACTACAGACGGAAATTTCCGCCAAGTTCCCGGACAAGCGTCTTGTCATTCCAAACGAGGCTGGCCTTGCCGTCTTGAAAGGTGCCGTAATCAACGGTCATGAGCTAGACATAATCACGGAAAGGATCAGTAGGTATACATATGGTACAGAAACGTCGGTAGTATTTATTCCGGGGAAACATCCAAGGGAGAAGTATTTTATGGGTGGAGGTTTGGCACGTTGTCATGATATATTCAGCGTACATGCACAAAAAGGACAGTCAATTCCTGTGTGGCAGAGTTTAAAACCCCACCATTATACTGTCACAGAACCGTTTCAAACAAAGCTATTTTTCGATATCTACATTTCGCCCTACCCATCACCTGAGTATGTTACAGACGAGGGTTGTGAATGTATTGGTTCACTTGTAATTGAAATACCCGACACTAGCAAAGGACTGAATAGAGGAGCAGACGTCCAGTTTACATTCGGTGGCGCGGAGATAGAAGTCCATGTGACGGACAGCGACTCAGCTGAGGAAAGAGTATCTTATCTCAATTTTCTTGGTTGACAACAACGTTAAAGTCGAATGATATCGTATAATATGAAGCTACTTGTATCAATAGTGAGTATATTCAAAATAGCAGACGATAACTTGTTAAGGTACATTGAATGTTAGATGATTTGTAGTAGCAAGTGTCTGCAAGGTTAACACATATAGGACTAGGGACAATGCTTTGTTGTATATACAATAGCAAGGTCTCTGTGAAAAATATTATGAATATACCATAAATCATCAACAGAGACTGGACTTTCAGATTTATCAATAGTTTACCAGACATGTTTGTCAGTAGTGCTTAATCATGTCAATGCCTCTTTTACCCCGTAATAATAGAATCCATTCCTGATGTGAGGTATGGATAATGTAATTCAACCGCAAGGGGAAAAAATATTGAGAAGGAGACCCGAGGCTTTGCTCAATATTTAATCACGAGGGTTTGAATTACCTTATCCATACTTCACATCCGGGATGGATTCTATTTCTTGCTTGTTACCTAAAACCCGTAAAAACAGCTGCTCTTCTAATAAAGTTGTAAACTGTCCGCCCATTTTTCATTTGCATATGAAGACATGATGGCAATGTAAATGACGTCAATGACCCTGACTGACCCCAAAACGTCAGAAAATGACGTCACGAACAATAGCTTGACTTTAATTCCCCCGCCAGTCTGCGCGTGCTAGTGATCCAGACCCGTGGGTCGGATAGAACTTTCCAGCACCGCCGGAAAGGCGGATATCTCGGTCTGGTGAACAAGAATGTACGTTTCATACATCACTGGAAACGGAATGTCTGTTAAGATTTATTCAGTGTTTCCTTGTAATTGAAACTGTATTGGTTTTGTCAGTGACTAGTGCATTAAGTACGGATTGGAAAGACTATACATTAGAAAGTAAGTAATTGTTTCCCAGTTATCCCCATGAAATGTCTAATGTAATTGTACAAATTGTCTACTCTAATAAAATATATTCTGATATTCATCAATCAAGTATCTTTGTTTTTATTGGCTAAATAACATTAAGGAGACAGTAAAGGAATTTAACACGTATTATTAGTCTGTTCTTAAAGTAGTACATGTATTATAAGGTCAGAGCTATAGGATATCGTTTAAAGTTCAAAAAACAATTAATGTGTCTCTGTTGTTCTCTGATTACTCGGTGAAATCCGTGACAAGTATGTCATTGTTAGACTTTACTTAACTTTAATCTTTTGATGTCATATGACAATATTTTGTTACGATACATTTGTGTTTTCAAATGTATGATTTCCAAACGTTTGTGTATTACTATTTATATGCAAAAAAGCTTGGATTTTAGAGATTAATGTAAAATACGACAGCCATTCCTCTAACACTATGGAAGTAAGCAACGTTATAACAGTATTGTGCCCTGCTAGTACATGGATTTATGACTATAACAGGTTACATCAACCAATTAGCACAAGTCAGGTTTATCTACACAAAAGATTTCGATCTGTTGGATGAACTCATCACAAAGATTAAAGTCATCGCTCGATATTTTAGATCAGTGACGAGTTTATCATATTACACCCCAGACAGCATGACGAATATGACATATGGTGACGAGAGACATCATGACGGGTGTTACATGTTGTGACGGAGACATCATGACGGTGTTATAAATGGTGACGGAGACATCATGACGGGTGTTATATGTGGTGACGGAGACATCATGACGTGTGTTACATGTTGTGACGATAGACATCATGACGATGTTATATATGGTGACGGAGACATCATGACGGGTGTTTTATGTAGTGACGGAAACATCTTGACGGATGTTACAAGTACTGACGGAAACATCATGACGGTTGTTACATGTTGTAATGGGAACATCATGACGGGTGAAACATGTTGTGATGGGGACATCATGACAGGTGATACATGTTGTGATGGGGACATCATGACAGGTGATACATGTTGTGAGTTGACATCATGACGGGTGACACATGCTGTGAGTTGACATCATGACGGGTGATACATGTTGTGAGTTGACATCATGACGGGTGATACATGTTGTGAGTTTACATCAAGTTTGCATGAGTTAGATTCATCATTACAAGTGTTCGATGCGGTACGGAGACATCGTAACAGATGTTACATGTTTTCTTCTGAGCCATGATTGAATAACAGTGTATCTCGATACATTGTTCTGAGATGTATTTGAATAAAAGTTTGTCTTGATAAAGGCCCAAATCGAAAATTATGACATTTACTCCCAACAGTCATGAAAAACCTGCCACTTTTAAGTACCATTTATTTTTTTAATTAAGTGTTTTATCCGTATTGTAAATACTGTTTATAAAGGTTCACCGTCTAATAGAATATAAAATCTGTAAATGTTACATTTCATTATGTATACGTCTGTTTAACAGATAAACTAGTTACAACGTTTACTATTGCAAGATTATTTTGTATGTACATATTACGTAAAAAAAATTGGGTTAAGTACGAAGGTCTGAAAACCGAATGATTTAAGACCATTGATAAAATTGCTTTAAACAAGCTGGGTTTTTACTTCCTTGTTAAGGTAGTATTACCATTGATAAAATTGCTTTAAACAAGCTGGGTTTTTACTTATTTGTTAAGGTAGTATTACCATTGATAAACTTGCTTTAAACAAGCTGGGTTTTTACTTATTTGTTAAGGTAGTATTTATTAACGCACACCACGTGTATATTGTATCCTTACCTCTGGCAATCAGCATAACCTGGCAGAACGTTAGGTAGAGTTGTCGGCTGTTAAACACTGCGGTGTGTATCGATATATATAATGATTATCATGATCAGAGCAGCAAAAGGTATAGAATATCGGTCATCATGTGATTTTAAATTTTTGTTTCAATTTCTTCCCACTCAAATTTCAATTTGTTTTTTTACATAATGTATATTTTAAATTATATATATGACCTCCACCATATTTGTTTCAGTCAAATTTTACATGTATTCATTTTTCATTTCAGAATATTTATGGCATTATAAAATGGCAACTAAAATGTTGCTGGTGGATAACACATAGTATAATAATGTACTGGTATCATTCCACACAACAAAGTCATGTGAAAAAAGATAAATGAGTAAGTGTAATCTAGTAAAAGCGTCTAGTATATTTAATGAATCTCTGAACCATCTCCAAAATCCTTATATTCATATTGATATCGAGTCTTCGACATCCATAAAGAAAAGTCTGAGTATTTAATGGAATAATGTCATTAAGAGCAGAAATGGAGTTCAGGAGAATTTGCCTTTGATTAGAATACAGAGTACAATGGAAGAAGAAGTGATCACAATTATCAACAGGAGAACTACATAAGCAGGCTGGGGTATCAATTAGGTGAGATTCAAATAGATCTGAATTCAGGTTTCTGGCACAGTTTCTAAGTTGACAAAAGGTAACATAAAATGTTCGATCACCATTGTATTTAAGTACATTTTACATTAGTACATTGGGGTTGAGAATCCATTTCATCTGAGTGTAAAAAATCTCTTTTTATAGCTCCAATGGATGTCATTGTGGGATACAGGCAAGTTGGAATATTCCATTCAGACATCAGTTTCGGGAAAAAACTGGCATTATATAACTGAGTTCTTGGTATAGGAACATCAAAAATTATATTGTGGCGAAGATGATAATATTCAACATTATTATTAATGAACGGTTGAATTATATCATAGACATGTTCTTATTATATATTTTATAAAAAGTAATATTTTGATGCAAATGACTTGTTCCACGTCTTAACCCTGAAATAATACGTGCTGCTTCTAGTTGGATAGACTCCAAGACGCTGCATTCATGCTGCGTGCAGTTTGCCAATATAATATTTGCATTTTTCAGAATTGGATGTATAAATGTGATATATATAGTTTCAAGGGATTTTCTATCAATTTTGTATTTCAACATTCTAAGTATATTAATTCTTTTATAAGCTTTTTCGTATATATAGTTTATGTGGTAAGACCAAATAGCCTTGCTGTTGAAAAACAAACCTAAGTGTTTATGATTAGAAACATTAATAATTGGTGATTCATCAAAACATAGGTTAGGATGCAGTGTCTCAGAGTCAACCCGCCTCGAGAAGAGCAGGGCTACAGTTTTATCTGGATTAAAGATAATTCCCCATTGTCTAGCCCAGATTAAAATTTTCCTTAGATCATCATTTAATATATTAGCACATTCTTGCCTGTCTCCCTCAATGAGACCATATAAGGAGGTATCATCAAATTTTAGTAGAAATTTTGAAATCTATACACGATTCCACTGTTAAAAAGTGTATGGATCTTACCAGGTTTTTTGTCCCGGTTTCGGAAGGGGCTATTGGTCGGCTTTCACGATCTATCGAAGACCTATAAACCTTTCATTTACCAAAGATACATGTGAACTTCAACCGGAGTAATGTAAGAACACTGTTTTCACTTTAGATGTAGGAGAGACAGAAACACTTGTTTGAAAGAAAGAAAGAAATTCAGCGAACATCTGTGTTGTGTTTCTTAAAGGAGAAATAAAAAACAATAAGAAGGCACTTTGAGGAGGGCAATCTTTATGATGAGGATTTAAAAACTCTGTCATGATTGTGTTTAAAAACAAATCTCTATAGTATCACTTACTCTGAGCTGGCTACAAATTGTGGACAGGGATAATGATGTAAAACATGTTCTGGCTGTTTCTCTGTGTATAATATATATATAACAATTGTAACAGAGACGTCATAATTACAATGACTTCACAAGGACAGATGACGTCATAGGTCCACAGACAACTGTACATTTTAACTGAGTAAAGGACACAACATGGAGATAGAATTTTGAAAAAGGCCTGGATTGAAAATTTAAAACAGAAAAGGTTGTTTGATAAGACATTTATGAACTCTATGAGTGGGATTTTGTTCTGTGATGCAAAATTAGCAATTACCAGATGTTTGTTTTAGGATATCACCAGATCCATGAAATTGTATGCACAAAATCAGAAACCAATGCTGGCAATGAAAGTGTTTGCAGAAGCAGTAAAGTATCTGAAGGACCATCTATCGCCTTGGTACTTGTAAGAAAAGGAGGTTAGAATTGCTGATGTCTGACGTCAGATGGGTCCTGACAGTGCCTGCTATTTGAAATGACCGAGCAAAGCAATTCATGAGGGAATGCGCTCAGCAGGTAGTCAACAATGCCCTTTCTTCGAGTACATTTATAATCTAATGTGTATATCGTCATTACAAGAATCTGTCACTACAATTAGAAGATATTTTTTTACATATCAAAGTGTTATTTTCTGACTTTTGTCAAATGAACCCGGATGAAATGCGCTCAGCATGTTATCGACAATGGCTTTTCTTCGAGTACTTTTATTATCTCATATGTATATTGTCATAATAAAACAATAAAAGTCATATATATAATACATTATGTATTTCACTTCTTACATATCACAATAATGTTTTCTGACACGTGTCACATGAACCCTGAGGAAACGCAACATGTCAACGTTAAGGTGATA